TCACTTTGGATTTTGAAATCTCACTTTTTATTTTTTTCATGAATCTCACTACCTTAGATCTTGACACTTTATACTTTTATTTTATAAAACTGGGGCATTTTATACCTACAGCCCACCCTTTCCCTACCCCTCCCCAACATCTCGGCTTCTGACCATCAAGAGAAATGAAACTTCGTAAGATCATTTTCATTTATTTCAACTTTAAATTTGGAACGGTTTAAACTTTAGTTATGTCTTTAAAGTATAGTGCTACTTTCCTTGTTCACAATAAACTTGGTTTTAAGTTTATTTTAAAGACGAGCGGGGAAAGGCAGACGGTCATAAGCCACAACATTTTCCCCTTCTATGCCACATAATAGCTTTTTTGTCTTCCGGCAGCCATAAGCAACAACTGTCCGGTCTTCCATGTCACAAATTTTGAGTCTTCTGGCAATTACTACGTTTTTAAAGGGGATAAATTTAGTGTTTTGAAATTGCGATTTTTTAAAAATACAACTGCATTACGCGAAAGATGTATAATATAAGTTAAAGATCAATGAATTGTGTATTCAGTTGATAAACTGCATTACATTTTACAAAGAAGATTTTACATCATTGGAGTATTTTAAAGAATAAGAAAAGATGAGAAAAATCAAAATATTTGTCATTACCTGCAGAGCTTTACAGATGTTCACAAAAAAATCTATTTTCTAATTTTCTTGCACTTTGAACTTTAAGAGTAAGTCATTGTGCATAATTTTTATTGTTCGAAAAATGTTTTAAAAAATAAACCATTTAAGAGGAAAGATTGAGTTTAGTTAAGTATAGCACTTCACATTAAGAGGAATCATCATTATTTCAATTTAAAACTTAAAAATAATGATCTTTATATATATATCTTTTGCATGACGTGATTGGATTTTTAAAATTTACCACTTGAAAACTTAACAATTACCAGGTAGATTCAAGTGTTGTGGCAGGGAAGACCGAACAGTTGTGGATTATGGCTGCTGGAGGACAAAAAAGCTATGATTTGTGGCATGGAAAAAAATTGATGTGGCTTATGACCGCCTGGCTTTTCCCGCTCTAAAGACATTGTTCACCCATTTGTTCACCTATCTATCTATCTATCTATCTATCTATCTATCTATCTATCTATCTATCTATCTATCTATCTATCTATCTATCTATCTATCTATCTATCTATCTGTCTATCTATCTATCTATCTATCTATCTATCTATCTATCACCTGTAATCCCTTCAGTTTATTTCCTTGAAGTTTAATGGCCTCAATGCTGTTTCCCAGATTACCAAAAGCAGAAGTCTAAACAAACATATCTGCAATATTTTTATGCAAAACTTCTTCATATATGCATTAATTTCTTATACAAATATTTCTATGTTTATACTATGCATGCACGTTTTTGCATCATATTTGCATGGCAAATGTAATATTGGGGAGAAGTGCGCTTATTCTTCGTTGCCGCATTAAATTAGAATATTGCTTAAAGAAATAGCTTTTTTGATTTTTTCCTATGTAGTATTATTTTAACTTTTACACAATATGGGTTGGGCACAATATTTAGTTAATGAGTTAAAATATAATTCTTACGTGAAGTATATTTCTATTTAATTATGCATTTTACCGTCTTTTCGACACCAACATTACAGACAGCTATGATTCCCCCAAAAAAGGGAGAGTCATGTACCCGTTCTGCGAAGTTTTCAGGAACAAATTTGCTCGTTTTTATCCCAAAAGACTATGAAATTGTGTACAGGTACTTTTTCGGGAAATTAAAATTTTACTTAACCACGGGGTCCCTCGACCAAAATTGGTTTTGGGAACCGTTGATAAAGTAAACTTCACTGTAAAGTAGAATTATAAATAATCATTAATTTCAGTATTAAAATTAACGACATTTAAAATAATAATGTAATCGTTTGTTCTTTTTATTTCCAGTTGTTATTTACGGTTATAACTGTTCTTTAAAGGGAGTGACCGGCTATGTAAGGTAGTTGAACTGAGTATGCAATGTTCTGGAAAACTTCTTTCGGATTCATTTGAGACATATTACACTTCTTAAAGATCTGTAAATCCGGAGTTTGAGCGCAAATTCGACGTTTAAAACTCCTACTTTGGGGGAGGATACTTGCTGGAAAGCATGTACTGCACGGGCAGCCGTAGTACATTTGAATTTCTGAGCCGGGTCAACCTTTCCGGTCCCAGTTTGTACTATATCGCCCTGACATTGGGTAAATAAAGCAGACACTCAATAGGACTAGCCGGTGCAACAAGGTTGACGCAGTCAGACTTTAAGTTGAATTTACTTTTACTAAAGAGTAAGGGGTGCGTGACTGTATGTATAGTGTATATTTAATCAGCCGTACTATCCAGTCTGAATTACCCAATGTAAAGTCGACCCAGCCCGTTTTATGCAAAAAATGTAACCTGGCAAGATAACAGTGAATGTACATTTATTCTTTTAGGCTTTTAGGGCGCTTCGCGCCCATCTGCCATTTGAAACATTTTTTCTTAGTATAAAATGAAAGACAATATAGAAAAGTTCGCAATTAAAAAAATTGTAGATTTTTAAAATTTAATGAAAATCAAATTTTGTTGGAAGCTACGTTTTGGAACTTTGATCATCCATAAACCTTCCCGGGGGTCACGTGAGGTCCCACACATAATCTGGGCTCTGTCAGTTCAGCCGTTTTGACGTTTAGTGGATACAAACACCCACAGTCCCACACGGATTAGCAAAGCAAATGTATAAATGAAATAAAGTTTCTAAGACCACCAACCCTGCAGGTTAAATTATTGAATAATGAATAAAATGAATGCAACCCCGGCTAGAAATTAGTTCACTAAATAGATATTGTCTCAGAAAGGAAATGGAACAAAACTTTCTTTGCTTCAATTACTTGCTGTAACTGAGTTTAAAATGTAATAAAAGTTTAAATATATTCCTCAATAGTATTACAAATACAAGAATTAGTTGTGTCACAAAAACAGACAATATTAAAGGGATTGTTTTGTTGCTTGAAAATACATAAAATGTTCAAATTGTTTAGATAATTGTAAATAATCTATAATTATTGACAACAATAAATATACAATAGAATATAAGTCTAACACGGGAAAACGGAATCCGGATTGCCAGTTGCGAATTTCCCGGGGGGGGGGGGTCCTGGACGAAATGACAAGTCGTTCTAGTTAGTTAACGGGTTAAAACTATCTATTTAAGAAATAAGAGCCTCTGCCATGAGCTAACGGAAATCATACTGTCTCTTTATCTTAAGTTTTTATTTTATCTTGTGGAACTCAATAACATTTTAGTGCAGTTTTAAATTTTGCTAGTCATTCAAATAAATGGAATATAATGTCACTATGAGCTTTTCAACCAAACTACATTTTTCTTGGTTGGAAAAGTTATAAGGTAAAATTTTGGAAAAAATGGATTGATTAGGAAATAACAAGATATAAAAAGAAGAAGAAAAATTACAAAATATAAAATTAAAAAAGGATTGGTATACCTGAATAGCGTTAATTTGGCAAAATGAAAAATCTATAGTTTTCAGGTGAGGTAGTACAGGAAACTGAAAACTTTCAAGAACCTAAATATTTATATACTTTTGACAAATTCTTAAACTTTTCTGTAAAATTATACTTTTTAATTTCTATAAGTTGTACAACTTGAACAATGCTTCAATCAAACATTGTCTAAAAAAAGAGCGTGCTTGAAAATACTTTTGTTTGTCTGTTAAAGGGACTGTAAGCTACATTTTAAGTGACCCTCCATGCAAAGATACCAATTCAGATTCACAACGGTACCCTTGAAATCTTTATCTGATGACTATTGTGGAGGATATTGTTGTTTTTCTAGGTTTACCAGTGTTTAATTCTGAGAATTTTATATGTTTTTTCTGCAGTACAAATGCGCAAGTTAATTTTGTGAAGTAACTATAATTGAACATAATAAGTTTTCAAGTTGTAAACATGGATAACTAGTTCATTCAAAAAAAGCTTTTAAGAGTACTTTTGTGAATCCGGCATTTCCATCTGTACCTACGTGCATGAAGAGTCATGTAAAAGGAATTGAGTCGTTGTAACAAACTCTGATTTTCTAATACCTATATTTTTTCCACCTGATGGTGTAAACCGTTGATATTTCAAACTTAGATTTTTTCATCTAACAGAATTCATAGTTTGAAATATCTAAGGTCTACGGCATTGGATTACAAAGATATAGAGATTAGAAAATCATAGTTTGTGAAAAAGACTCAATTCCTTTGTAAGCTGTTAAACTTTAGAATATCTTAAGTTTCCCATTTTAGAGGATTGACTTTTATTTTTTTCATTCACCTGAATCGGATTGTTTGCAAAAGAAACCATTTTCAGTCTTCCATTTCCATCAAATGTTTTTTTGTCCAGTTTTGTTATACTGTTGTAGCTTAAGTCAACCTAGTCCGGATAAGAATGTGATGGATTGAACAAGTTTGAATGAAAATAAAAATATTTCTTCAAATTGTAAATATTTCTAACATTTAACCCCGATTTCTAGAACTTGTTGTTGAGTTGTAGCCAAGGGGTGATAGAGAAAAACATAAAGATGAAACTGTTAACCTTATTGAATTGAATAAGAAATATGTTTTATGAAACTATTGTGTAATTATCGTTCTTCCTAACTTCATCGGGAATTTTATAATAAACGTGCTATATATTTTTTTCAATTAAATGAAAATAAAATTGGAATTAACTTTACTTGACTTCTGCTTTGTTTCAAATCTTATTTGATCTAGAAATAGCCATTGAAATAACACAAGTACACAAACGTTTCATAAATCAATTACATATAAAACTTTTATTTTGGACTTAAATTTTCTCTGTATCTTGCAGGTTCTCGCCTTTTATGATTATATTTTGTCCCTTGCTAAAGCTCGGGACAAAATTAAATCTGAAAAGGATTGAACCTTCTCGATAAAGAGAAAATTTCTGTCTAAAAACTTTATAACACTTATACGAACCAAAATCAAACTGCTAAAAATAGTTATTAACATTTCATTTTACTGTAGTGTGCACCGTACATGGTTTTAAACATTTGATCTTTTGTAATTTCCTTCCAAGATATTACTTCCTAAATTCTGTATCAATCTTCCAATTTCCAGCCAAACATCAAAAGAAGGAAGAAATTCAAAAGATACCGTTCTCAAATATTTCAGAATGTTAGGCCTAAACTTAATTTTAAAGGGATTGTTCGCGAAAAATGAAAGGGGGTATAGGCTTACGGCCGGCGATAAATAATCGCTTTTGATCGCTACTAATCTTACTTCCATCTGTTGCGTCTATAAGGTGAAAATTGTTAAAAACGACTCATACCGAAGAAATATAGTGTCCATACAATTGAGAAAGTTGCAACATACGACTAATATCGTAGAAAAATCAATTTACTTTCAAACAAATCATTTAAATATTAAAATCTTTAGACATCGACTATTTTTCGACGCATTCGAATATAGTTAATATTTCATAATATTTGTTATTTGTTTATATGCAATGCCCTTAAACCGACGTTTTTTCCGCTAGGTGTCTCTGCCACGTGAAATCATTCAAAGCATCGAGAGCAGAGACACCTGGCGGCCAACTATTTCGGCGTTTTAAGTGCATAAAAAATGAAAAAATATTATGAAATGTTAACTATAAAGAAACGCGTCGAAAAATAATCGATGACTGTAGGTTTTAATATCTGAATGGTTTGTTTGAAATAAAATGAATTTTTTTACAATCCGAGCCGTATGTTGCAACTTTCTTACTTTGTATGGACGTTATGTTCTTTACTATAAGTCGTTTTTAACAAATTCTTCCTTATAGGCGCATCAGATAGAAGAAAGATTAGCAGCGATCAAAAGCGCTTATTTTTCGCCGTAAGCCTATACCTTTCTTTCATTTTTCGCGAACACTCTCTTTAAGAGTGGCATTTTTTATTTACTAGGATTCATTAAACTGTACTTAATTAAAATTCATTCTTATATTTGGCGGGAATCACAGAAGATGAAAAAATGTTAAACTGACATAATTGGATAATTCTGTTTTCTTAGCTTAGGAGTTCGAGAACAATGTGACATAATTTGGATGAAGTGTATAGTTTTCTACTAGAAGACACGTTAGACAAATGTTTAAAGGATTCTCTTCTGCATCTTAAAAATTAATACAAAAGCTTCTTTAAAACTCGTTATCGCCAAATGAAAGTTACACTGGAGTCTTAAAACATAAAGATCAGAAATAACGCATCTAAATTAAGATTACTACAGAATAAACAAATTTTAACAGAAAATCCTAAAAAAGATTAGTGCGTTTGTTTCGTAAAAAACGTATTTTTTTATGCACTAAAAGCTAATTGAGTCTTAATTTTACAGAAGTTTATAAACAAAATCTGTATATTTTCAAAAAAGAGATAATGGAAGTTTATAAAAAGAATGTTTTGATAATAACTATAAAATCTATTTTTAGAAAAAATAATTTAAGTTCATAAACGGATTGTTTAGATAATAACTTAAAAACATATTTTCAAAAGAGATAACTGAAGTTAATAAACGAAAAGTTTAGATAATATACAAAAAAGAAGAATTGAAAAAAATGTATTTCACATCCTGCCTCGATTAGTATTTTAAGATTATAGAACGCAGTAGGATGGATAGTTCTCAACCCTGCGTGACGGATAAATATTTTCTGAAGGTTTGGTAGACTATCTTGGAATACGTTCTCTCCTAGCCTAATCAAACACAACCATTTTAAGAAATGTTTAACAAAAACCATGTGACATTGCAAAAAAAGAAAAGAATCAAGGTATGTTAAAATCTTATTTTTATTAAGGTGTTTATTTTTAACGTAAAACATGCGACATTGCGAAAAAATGTAAAAATTTAATCATTGCTTGAACATTTCGGAAGTATGTTAAAAATTTATATTTTGTTTTAATATTTATTGAATTTGTGTTTTTTTTCCTTGTTATAGTGTTATTGTCGAGAATGAGAACCTGAAAAATAAAGATTTCATTTTCAAGATAGTTTTCATATTAGAACGATTTGTACCATAATAAAATGAACTAGATAAGATACACGAACAAAATGATTTTAATTGAAAATATTGATCAATATCTTTTTAAAAAACCCAGAATTTAAGGTTGTGAACCTACAATGATGATTAACAAATTTATGAAGTGATTTTCCGCTTCGTTTTATTGTTCGAATTTGCCAACAATTAGTCCAGAGTTTTCTGGAAATTGCTGTATTATTATTTACAAATCTCTGATGAACATACTAAAATTAAAATATCAAATAAGTTAAAAGTAAGAAAACTTATAATAGTTTTAAAATTAGGGTATAAGGATTTTTTTGTTAATTTGGTTTTTACGGTATCATAGTCCTGCTAGATTATCAATTAAGATGATTAGGATTATAGGTCTCTGATATTGTAATATTATTCATTATAAATTATACCAGAAACTTGAAAACCAACTTAATAAGTCTATGTATAACAAATAGCAATGCACAATTTCAGTGTTTCTCGTTAGCTAGACTATATAAAATCCAAGGTTGTATAATAAGGTTGCTTACTCTCGATGCGCTCCAATGGACGGGAAATGTCGTCTCCTAAGCGTAGATAGATAACATCCGTATATGACATCACCGCGAGAGTGACAGCACATGCAAATTCTATCTATCCATGCCAAGAAGACAAAATTTTCAGTACATTGGCGCGTATTGGCGCGCCCGAGAGTAAGCAACCTTATTATATAGCCTTGATAAAACATAGATTGAATCATACAGTCGTCTTCCTGATTCAAATTTTTATAGATCACACACTATGATTATCGAAAAAGATTTGTTTAACTGACATATACCTAAGTTTTAGAAATATATAATTTAATCTGAAAATGACAGCTTTAATAAAGGAATGTTTGTTGACTGACCTGGATTTCTTTGTTTAGATTTGTTGGAACTTGAGTTAGTCCAGCACTACTACAGTTTGCAACCTTCTTACCCCCCATCCACTAAACAACACATTTTTAACTAATTTTCTTAAACGGCATGCTCGCAATTTAGGACATGTTCGCAAAACTGAATAAATCATAAAAACCTCCAAATTCTTTGCCTGCCCAGACACGGGACTAGGACTGGGTGTTTTCCTACTCGTTCTTTCCGTTCATCCCGAGAAAGAATGATCTTTCCCCAGATACGACGCTGCAGCCATGAGCTGGGCGTTTTCCTTCTTTTTTGAAATAGTTTGGTTCTGCTCCTTCTCGTGAAAGAACGATCGGCGCCCAGCCATAGGCAAGACGTGCAGAGACTACGCTGTCAGAACGCATTTGCTAATTTAGGATTTAAAAAATTCTTGTACACAGTTTCACAAGTAACATGGGCATTAGATTACAACGTTGATATGGTCTTTGATTTTGCAATTTTAAAAATAGTGATTGTATTTAACAATATTACGTCTCGTGATTTTTAATTAATTAAAATCTGAACATTTTGGTTGTTATATGGTCAAGATTTTTTTTGATAATTGTTCAAAATAAAAAAATAGTATAATCGATGTAAAGTCGCAATTTAATTTTCACGCATTTTGGGACAGTCAATGTTAAACATTTTATCGAAATTCATATTTTATTATCATAAGTCAAACGTAATCATATAATTTATTAATGAAAATGATAAATATTGAACAGTTTCTATCCTTTTTAAAGTTTTTTTTAAAGTTGATTTTGTCATTGTGGGTTTGAAATGTTTCTGGGAAAACTCTTTCTCAATTCTTAAATACTGCGGCAAACTTGCTTTCTGATATTACAACTTAAGTTTTACAGCAAATTATCATGAATCTAGTAAATATCCTTCATGTTTATTTTTTTTGACATATTTTAATAGAGGGGGGGGGGGGCGGTGAGGAGCCTTTACAATGAATATAATTCCTCACAAATATTCAATCTTTTTTTATATAGGAACCTCTTCAATTTTCACATTATATTCTTCATTTTGACCCAAAATAGCCGAAGCCAATATATGGGAAATTCTTGTAAACGGAAAATGAAAATCTATGAAAAAAGGCACAAAGTCAGACTCACAATTGGAACTAATTATACTGGCCGTAACTCTAATTTTCTAACTTACAACTTTTTGATGCAATCCTATGGTATAATTCTTTGATATTCGTTTGAAAAATTGTTCGCAGATTTTTACCTTGCATTCACAATGGTGGCAGGAATTCGCCCAGTCCGATCTACTTGGCCCTATTAAACTTGATAACAAGCAAATCAGAACAAGAAACCTTAAAAAAAGCATATTTTATCTTATTCATCATTCCTATAATTTTTTGTACGCATATTTAGCATATTAAAATGATATCTTGTTTTTATGATAAAATGTAGTTTTTAGTTTTAAAAGTTGTTTTGAAATACTTCGAACTTGTATCTTCTATATTTTCTTATTTAATTCTACAACAAAACATTTCAAGAATCTAGAATTTCAGAAAACTTTTAGAAATAAAAGTTATTGACAGAATTGTTCTACAATAAAATAAATACTACAATTATTGAATATTCAGGTATTAAAATCAAAGAGACGCAATTTCAAGAATTTTCCGGCCATTTGGTTATAGAGTGGCATGTCCGATTCGGAACGATACCCTTTAAATTTCTGTCTTATCAAGAATAACACAATTGGTCAAGGATAACTTTTAAAAAAATTCTTAACCTATATCTGAATACTAATTACTTTTAATTGTGAATTCTTTATTTTAAAATAGCCGTCTCTATAGTCTCTTCAAGATTAGTTGATATTTTTCAAATAGATCGCATAATCTAAGTTTAGAATATCAAAGGTTTATACCATGCTGTGTCAAAGATTAAAAGTTTCTGGCAGTGACTCTATTCCTTTGAAATTTAGGTGGTCGGCTTTTAAATCTATATAATAAAATAAAGCTCTTCGCTCATGTATATATATAATATATATGTGTGCAAAAGGCTGGATCGAATTAGCTAAAATTTGTTTAGAAAACCCGGAACCCGGTTGGTAACACAGGTTAAAATACTTTGAAATTATTTTTTTTCAAAAATCATTTTTAGATTCCACGGGGACGGGCAAAGCCGGGTACTCCACTTGTATGATATATTTGAATGAAAACAATGCCTCCAACTTGTTTAAGGCTGGTCTGACCCGGGTGGTGGTGTGTTCTCTGTAATTTTAAAAATGTAAACATTTTGTGAAAGTTTAAATTAGGTTTACTTGCCTCATCCTCTGCAGTATCCTGGAGCTTGTAAATACCGAGGTTAAATCTTCATTTTCTCTCTTTCTAAACAAGCACTTTTTTATTTCTTCATCCTTTTATCTACTTTTTGCACCAACACTATTTGTCTGTCTGAAAAATGGATTTTCTTTGACAATTTTATCTTAAATTACTAACAAAATTATACACAATGTGTCTCTAAAGTGTAATTTAGGCTCAAAGAATAATTTTAACTTTTTATTGTTGCTTTACTATCTGTGTGAATTTTCCGTTGTACATTATTTGCAGACTTTTCTGTTTTTATTGGTAAATTCAGAGAATACATTTGCTGAGCCCGTTCTCTCCATAGAAAGTGGACGTGCAGTTCACGTACTTTGGGGGACGATGTGTTAGTCGCTAGATGTCTCATGCTAAATTCTTATCTGATAGATAGATATTTCCCCGTACATTTGACGACCAATATAGGAGAAAGGTCAAGTTGTCGACCAATGTAGTCTATGGAAGGAACGGCCTCTGGGTGGATTTTCGAACATTCTGGATAAAAAGAAACCAACCTATTGCGAACGTTAAAAAAGTGTTTATTTTTGCTTAAAGGGACTTTAAGCGTGATTTCAATTGACCTTCCATTTATAGAGTGTCATATCCGATTCACAACGATACCCTTTAAACCTTTGTTTGATGAAGGATTTCGTAGAAAATTAAGAGCCAAGAAACCGCGCGAGTGTGCATTAGCACGGAGAGTACAGTGTACACTGTAACCTTAGGTCTCCCGGCACTCAATATTTAGCTATACAAATGAGGGTATCTACCCATGGAGAATAGAATATATATTAGAGGGGAATTTAAAGAATCTCTCGGTATGAATTTTTTCAGTCCCTTTCAGCCTGAAAGGGAGTTCAAAGTGTACAAATCATGTAAATGTTCACAAATTATATGCAGTAGAGTACATTAATACAGTATGTTCCCTAAGCCCAAAACTTAAGACAGGGTATCGTTATGGAAACCAGTTTTAAAACCCGGGTTTTACGAATGGAGTTTGGCAGTTTTGTGGATATCAATATTTTTGTTGTGAAATATTTTTTTATTTAGTTTCTTCATATTCTCCATTTTTTCGAATTTCTTAAATCAAAATCTACAAAATGTTAAGACCCCTAAAAGGAAACTCGAGAGTTTCGTTCAACGATACTCTTTTAAATTTCGGGCTCTAGACTCAAGGAGAATTGAATACAAGGAGGGGGCAAAAGGGTTTCCGTACACTGCTGTGACGTATTTGGACTGCTGGAGAACTAGTTTCAACCTTTAACAAAATTAATATTCTTTTGCATCCATAAGATAGATATTTTTTATTTTTCGAAATATTATAAGAAAGGATAACCTCAAAACTCTATTTTTGTTATTCTTTGAAGAACTAGTTTACGCCAATTAAGTTCTTTGAATAAAATATCCTAATTTAAATATATGAAAGGGTTTATTCAATATTTTGGGACTCATGAAATACATTTTTCCATCTTTAAAATTCTTAACTTAACTAATTTAAAACTTATGTTTCAGCTTTTTACATGCAATTAAAGATCTTTTACTTGAACAACAGAATATCTGCATTATCTCTCGACTTTTCCACAGTTTTTCCATGTTTTTGCGCATTTTCATTAGGATTATCTTAACATTGTTAAAAATATGCAAACTCGCAAATAAAGAAATATTTAGGCAAATGGACAAAAATGCACGAAAGGAAAAAGGCTGCATATTTAAAGTTAGACTTCAGATTGACTGTTAAAAAAGGGTGATCAAGTTTCATAATTAAAATGAAATTAGAAAGACATTTTCAGGGATCTTTTAAAGAAACAACGATTTTGCCACAAAACTAAATTTTGATACCCAATATCGAAGACCTTTGATATTTCAAACTTTGAATTTTATTAGATCAAAATAATTCAATTTTTAAATATTAAAGGGAGTGTTCGCGAAAAATGTAAGGGGGTATAGGCTTAATGCGATAAAAAAGCGCTTTTGATCGCTACTAATATTACTTCTATCTGTTGCGTCTATAAGGAGAAAATTGTTAAAGACGTCTCATACCGAATAACATGGAGTCCATACAAATTGAGAAAATTGCAACATACGACTTAGTCCGTAAAAAAATCAATTTAATTTCAAACAAATCATTCAGATATTACAACCTTTAGTCATCGATTATCTTTCGCCACATTTGTATATATTTGATATTTCATACTAGTTTTGATTTTGTTTTTTAAAATAATATTTAGCTTACAACTTTTTTTCGAACATTCCTGGAAAATATGGAAATGTCGTCTTCATTACCAAAAATCCTCGAAACAGGAATAAATGTTTTTATAAGTAACTCTCAGATCATAACAATTAAAACATATTATGAAAAATCAACTATATATAAATGTGGCGAAAGATAATCGATGACTATAGGTTGTAATATCTGAATGATTTGTTTGAAATTAAATTGATTTTTTTACGGTCTAAGCCGTATGTTGTAATTTTCTCAATTTGTATGGTCGCTACGTTCTTCGGTATGAGACGTCTTTAACAATTTCCTTCTTATAGACGCAACAGATAGAAGTAATATTAGTAGCGATCAAAAGCGCTTTTTTATCGCATTAAGCCTATACCCCCTTTCATTTTTCGCGAACACTCCCTTTAAAGGCTTACAACTTCAAGAAAGATTGCTAAATTTGAGTTTGTGGCAAACACTTAGTTTATTTTCTCCAGCTGCGTGCCTGTGATGTTTGTGTCCGCGAGTGTGTGTGTGTGTGTGTGTGAAGAGTTTGATTCATAAAAATTTAATCCAATCTAAGTTTTAGTTTGAGAAGGCCCTACAGTGTATAGGTTGGACGGATTATGCTGTTTGAAGAATAGGATCAAACCTAGAGGAACACTCAACCAGAAATTAGAATCAGAAAATCTCCGAATCATCATTGACTCTAAACTAGACAGAAAGAGAAGGTTCAATTTCTGTGACATTACTGAAACAACTTTGTGACCTCATGGACTCTAAACTAGACAGAAAGAGAAGAATAAATTTAGGTGACATTACTGAAATAACTTTGTGACCTCATGGACTCTGAACTAGACAGAAAGAGAAGATTAAATTTATGTGACATTACTGAAACAACTTTGTGACCTCGTAGCTCCTCTATATAAATTGAGAGAAATGTAAGAAATCAAATTTATTCAAAACATTTTGTTCCTCTCAATCTTCAATAAAAGAAGTTTTGATTGAAAACACTAAATATAGCATATTTTCACTAAAGGAAACTACATTTCATGCGATGTCTTCACTCCCAATACGGCAGCTATGCTACAATCTTTTTTATCTCTCAAACCTTATATATTTGCAACCTAATATTGTAACCTTTTTTTATTGCAAAGTCACCCCAGTTTGCAAAAATATCGGGATGAAAGCCGTTTATGAAATAAAAAAAATCGAAAACACGTTTTTCATTTTTCCTGGAGGAGAGAAAAACTAAGAAAATTAAGGTTATTTGATTCACGGTGATTTAAATGTCTTTGATTAAAATTTTCCTGGCATTTTAATATGTGACTGGATAAATTTGTTATTCTCATGTACATAAAATCAAAACTAGGGGAGCTACGATGTCACAAAGTCATAACAGAAATCCTGCGTGAATTTGACCTTCTCCTTCTGTCTAGTTTGCAGTGCTGAGCCTGCACTTTAAAATTAGTTACCCTCCTTTTGATGGCATTATTACTTAAATTTGAAGATTTGTTATAAAATACATATCAAGAGAATGATTCATTTGTTATACCGTCCCGAATAAGCTTAATTTCACCCTTATTATAACTTTACGGCAACATCTAATCCAATCAGAGCTCACTCACGTGCTTTGTGATTATTCAGAACCAATAGAGATAGGAATTTATTCACATCTTATAATCCTACAGTGAAAGAAAGGTGATGTATCTTGTAAACTGTGCAGTGTATACTACTTATTCTATAGCTGCTTAAAAATCGGGTCTGTACATTAACAGAACTGAAGTTTTCAGTGCATTTAACCAATTCATTTTTTAATTGTAAAGTCAAAGTCAAATCTTTGCAGAATATATTCCGATACAGCCAGGACATAACCAGCTCGTTCTAGTTTTGCGTGAGTAGAACTCTGTTTTTTTTTTCTTTTGTATGGTAACACCATTGTGGTTGAACAGTTAAACAGTTGTTGACAGATAACAGCAACACGCTAGACAAATCCGGATAATAGGCCGGTTAGGATTTTGAAAGGGGTGTTTATTATCCCCAGACGATTCTTTCCCGATGGCCGAACAATACACACACAACAGAGTAACCTGACCTAAAAATATGAGGAAATTGATCAAAAAAAAGAGGAAACCATTCAACTCTAAATATTGGGAAACGGATACAAAATATTCGGAAATCCCTCAACAATTCTGAACTTTTGAGGGATTTCCTCGAATTTCTAAAAAAAACGGAAATGCCTCAAAAATAATTTTTGATCTGTTTCCGTGTTGAGTCGTTTCCGTGTTGAGGCGTTTCCATGTCACCACCTCACATGACCCCAGAAAAGGTTTATGGATGCTCAAAATTACAAAAATATGTTTTCAAAAGTACTCGACTTTTGTAAAAGTCTAAAGTTGCTCGAAAAAATGTTAGTAAATCCGCAAACTTTTGTTTGTTTTTGTTTTATATTCTTCAAAGAGAAGATGCTCACAGATTAAAAGTTGAAATATAATAGTTTTCTAAATATTGGCCGTATTATCTTTTTGGTTTAGTCTTTTTGCAAAGATGGCATTTTTGTAAAATTAGATTTTTAAAAGTTTTTTATTCAAATTTTAAACTTTGAAAACGGTAAATAATTCGAAAAATACCAAGTATAGTGTTCACATTGAAAGTTTGAAGATAAATGCATCACATGTTTCTCAAGTTTACCTTATGTAAATTTGTGACAAACAAGTTCTGCAAAAGTATATCTTTTCTCATCAAACATTATGTGAGCAAACTAAGTAGGAAATGAAATGTAATTTGTCTCGTCATTCTACAATATCGATTAAAAATGGTATGGAATGATTATCATTTTCTGACAGTTTTAAATTTTTTAATTCAATCAAATCTGGCCGATAGTTTTTACCTTTCACTCTATCCCGACTAGGCTATTACTTATTATCTGGTAATTATAATTTTCCTTATATTCGAGATAAAGGATGGATCACTCATCCTACTTTTTTCAAGCCAGCTTATTGAAAAAAAGACCTCTAACTTTAAATGTTAGGGTGCTAGACAGGTTAAAACTAATTAAAAAAAGTAGGCCAATAAATGTGAAAAATCAAAATAAACTGTTTTTGACCAATATTAATATGTAACTCACATGTTGGTACATACATTTTTAAGTACTTTAAAAATGTAAATGTTAGATCTGTAACTTAAATAGTAAACATGTGTTTTAAAAAAATCTCTCGATTGATAATGATTTGTATTCATCATAACGAAGATCGCCTTCGCATATGATATATCAAAACAGTAAAGACGACTTTCAATTTAATTTCGATTTATGATAAGTTATACAGCATGCAAAATGCAAATGAATAATCAAATAAAAAATTCGTCTTCATTGTGTTGATGTAATCGCCCACCACTGTAGAGTATCCAGCAACTATCTAGTAGTTATAGAAGTAATCTGGAGATTAAATTAATGCATTTGTTTACTTTGCCTGTTGTATGTTTTCCATCATTTTGTTTATTTCGCAATCATTTCAGACTATTCTTCTTTCTAGATAATACAAGGAGAATTGGCTCAAGAGCTGTATCCATAATGTTTCACTGCATCAGGCAGAGCCTTCCGAGCACCCTCCTGTGTATTTGAATGTCGAATTTGGATAGGCTTAAACTCTTTAGGGTTACCTTACGAGCACCCTCCTGTGTATTTGAATGTCGAATTCATATTGGATAGGCTTAAACTCTTTAGGGTTACCTTACGAGCACCCTCCTGTGTATTTGAATGTCGAATTCATATTGGATGGGCTTAAACTCTCTAGGGTTACCTTATGTCAGGTAAGGTAACCCTAAAGAGTTTAAGCCTATCAGTTAGAAATTTATAAAATATTTTGAAATTGTTTAAATAAACATAATTTGTTTTATTCAATTCTGAAATAAAAAAAATATAATTGTATAGACTCAATGATTCCTAGAGCTTCCCTTATTTAAATTTTGCACACCAATGTAGATCTTTTCTATTTTTTTTGCGTCGTTGTACGATTGTTTTATTTACTAAATACCCAACTATTTCTATGGAAATTCCTGAATTCATTAAATGACATATATACTTATATGTCCGTGTTGACATTGATAGCTGACGAGATCGTGCCCATTGGTTTGGAATTGATAGTTCAAGAGCGTATGTCCGTATGACATTGATATCTGAGAAGTTGTGTGTACCTGGATTAAAACGTGTCTGAAAGCAGTAGGGATTGGAAAATTTGGGTATGTGTCAAAGACTCAAATTAAATTTGATTTTATCAACAAACGAAGAAAACCTTTAAGCTGAAAGCTAAAAAGAAACGGAAAGATCTGAAAATAATCGACTTTTATAATATATTAGATTGATAGCAACATAGTGGGGCCGGCCAAGTTCTGTTGACTTTAATGAACGGAAAGAATAATATTTTGATAAATCTTAATAAATAAAGTTAACCGCCGAGAATTTAATGTTCAATCATGTCAATGTATAAATTATATATCACCTGTCAAACCGGCAAAGTGCTTGTTGCTTATATCGTGAAAAGGAGTATTTAGATAATTCTGATAGATTTTGTGTCAGATTGCAAATTATTTAAGTTTAAAATATCAAATGTTTACACAATCAGGTTGCAAATATTAAGGGATTAGAAAATTTGATTTTGTGGGATTTCTACTATACGTTACGATCGATGTTAGCTGTGATTAATGGGCTATTAAGGCAGAACACCTTAATCATTTCTCTAAAAAGAAATTGATATAAAAACATTTCCTTTCAACCAGATAAACTAACATGTCGTAAACTGTGCACAGATTTAAATTACATATGGAATTATTCAATAAATACTAAACTGGTTCTATACTGTGCTGTGGGACTCATAAAACTGTGGAATACGACTCAAGGTTTTCTTTATATAGAAAACTAAACGTAAACATGTAAAAAGAAATTGTAGTGTACAATGGCCAATGTTACTCTACAAGTGGGTTTAAAGCTATTGGTAAAGTATTAAAAGTAAAAGTAAAACAACATTAAAAACTCAGAAAATTGCGTTAATATCGTCTTCATTTTCCACGGTTTATATATAGAAACTTGCCCAGAACATTTGGTAAAATTGATCTATGATATTTATAACAATTACAAATTACTAAATCCTTGCATATGCATAAACGAAAGTAGGCCATCACAATAGTACCCTTCATCTGACCAATTATATGGAAGATATCATCGTTTTTGTTGCTTGAAAAGTGTTGAAATCTTACAATTTCCTCTTTATAATAAAACCATAATAAAACATTGAAGTCCAGCTCTTCCATTCACGATCAGAAATCTATTAAAGTGTAAACCGGATTAGAATGGATGATTTCCCTTTAAGCATATACCACACGAACTGGTGCTCTAGAGACATTTTCTCTACTATTCATTACTTTGTTAGTGCTTAAACTTTACAAATTCTCATTTTAATTCTTTTAAATCCTTTCAACAAAGTTGTTCCAAGTAATTTAAATCAAATTTATTGTGATTATACGTACATTATATACACAATCATGAAAAGGTTCCGAATAGGGCACACATACACACTTTATAGAGTTAAATCATACAACCTGGAAAATATTAGCTAAATAATTAATTTATATACACTATATAAACAGTTTTCAGGAATCAAATATTAATCCCGTAACGAACCCATTGGCTTATAAACACATTTTATGATAATAAAACCTCAAATATCTTAATTTTACGCTTGCAGTGAATAAAAAATCCTCTCAAGTCTTCTTATTTTAATGTTTAGTATGCACATTAAAAATGTCTATAATGGGATTAAATAGCGTACCGGCCTCGGAACAGATTGGAGGTTTCACGGAGACTGAAGTGCTGTGCGAAGCTGAGATAGAGGGATGGAGGAGGGAGGCCAGGCCCGACCTCTGGTGCTGGTATAATCAGTTCTAGAAAAGAAACTATGTCTAAAATGGGAAGAATTATTAATCTTTAAATCGTCTGTCACAAACATTAAAACTGAAATGTCGAACGATATTGAACAAGTTCTGGTCAACAGTGGGATCCACAAAGAGATTCAGCCTGCTTTGAAATGTTGCATCAATTGTCAGGACAAGGTCGTCTTTGAAGTGTCGCACATTTTTTGCCTTCAACACAGTTAAACATATACATTTTAAAGCATTACACCAAATGTTTTAAGCTCTAGTCATTGAGAAGAAATTGGCAAAATTTGCATCGATTTTGGCTTAAGATTGCTTCCAACCTTTAGATTAAAAAGCCCATAAAACTGTGCACCAGTGTGATGAATTTTATAATCTAATAATAATTTTGCATGTACTGTGTAATGTGCATAGAGGCCGAATTTAAAGAATTTGAGCCGCGGCTCAAATATTGTTTGTTCCACTTAAAATTGTGTTCAATTGAAACCGGATTTAAAACGTGGCTCAAATTCAATAAACTCAGACTCAAACCTATTTATTTAAAAAAAAACTATAAAATGCACATAAAATTGCTGACACATCCTCTTCCCTTTTTCATAGTTTTTTTTGTGAGGTCTCACTGTGTTTTTAGAAAATATTTGCTGCCTTTGTGACCAAACAGACCGTTAAGTTCTCATGTTTAGCACTATCTAGGGATTTTTGTTGTTTTAACAGTAAACTAACAAAATTCATAATTACTAAATTTATCTAAAAAAAAATTTCTTTAACTGTCATATCATATTATGATTTCAATTAATAAAGTTATAAACGTTTTTCTATTAACACACTTTAACGTAATTTGTGGGTTTACATTGGGAGTAAATTAAACTTTAGTGATGAAAGTGTATAAGAGTCAGAGATCAAAACCCAGTATTCATATCTTTTTGAAATCGAGATAATACCAGTTATATCGCATAAATTTGACCTTTTTCTTCTGCATAAAGTTTATTTTGTGATTTGTGCCTACGGATGGGCAGTAGCTTGATTGTTTTACAGAAACTTTAAATGTTTTTAAACGGGTTTTACGACAATATGATATGAGAAGGTTCCAACATTTTAAACTTTTTTCTGTAGAAGTTTGCTTTTATCAAACATGCAAATTAGGAAAAAAATATAAGAAAAAAACGAAAATTTTAAAACGATAGCTTTGGGGTTTTAAAAACGATAGTTTTTGTTTCGTTTTTACACTTTATTTCACCTATAATAACAAATTTGCATGTTTAATTAAAGGAAACTTCTACAGAAACAATTTCAAAATGTTGGAACCTTCTCAGATTGTCGTAAAATATTTAAAAGTCTAAAAATATAAAAAATTTCTGCAAAATGAATAACTATTGCCCATCACTTTTTGTACCATTTTTAATTTCTATCAAGCGATCTAAAACTATTAAACTATTATGCAAAACTATTATGTAAAACTATTATTTTAAACTATTATGTAAAACTGTATAACTTTTATGTAAAACTATTATGTAAAACTATTATGTAAAACTATTATGTAAAACAGTTATGTAAAACTATTATGTAAAACTATTATGTAAAATTGTTATGTAAAACTATTATGTACAACTGTTTTGTAAAACTGTTATGTAAAACTATTATGTAAAACTGTTTTGTAAAACTGTTATGTAAAACTATTATGTAAAACTGTTTTGTAAAACTGTTATGTAAAACTATTATGTAAAAGGGGGAGGGGAATCACGCTTATTTTGTGACTTATGAACCTAAAATTGAATTACACTGAACACGTGTAGTGTGTATGTATACTACAGAGTACAGCGTGAGTTAGTAAAAAGAAAGAATCCTAGAAATTCCTAGTTATTATCAGGTATATCCAATAAATGTTATTTGTACGTATTAATAGAAAAATAATTACAATTCATGTTAGGTTTAGGAATTAACAAAAACAAGGCAATTTAATATCTACAGGACCGTTTTTTCTCGAACTTTTTGTTAATTCGTCGGTTTCAACGATGATAACAATAGAACTGTTCTGTGGTTAAGGATTATATCTTGTAAAAACCTTTCTTAAAGTCGTCGTTTTTAATGATAACACTGGAATTGTTGCGTCAATACCAAAAGTCCAGGTAAGTACAGATCGTTAACGCTCGTTAAAAACGAAGTCCTTTAGGTTTAACAACTTAGACTTTTACATAATTTTTAAAGTACTTCTATAATTTAAAAACTTTCAGACCAACAGTTAAAATTCAAACTTAAGTAGATTTTTTAATCCTTTTATTTTATTAAGGGACTGAACTTGTCTGGAATTCAAGTTTTTACACCAGCATGCACCAACAATCTCTGTATTTATCTATATATATATATAGATTGATTTGCATAATAGCAGATATAGAAGCCATACAACAGAAGTTTGAAAGGATTTTTCAAATATTAGAGAATAAGGGTTATACAACTTTCGGATTACTAGGAAAGAAAAAAACCCGATACGCAGATTTACATATAACAGATTTTACTACTTAAATAATAATAATAATTATCATATTCAGAATTTTGGTAAGTTTTGTCATTTTTCAACTTAAATTAAATTTAGACTTTAAAAAACTGAAATTCTAAAATAATCAAGATAACAAAACATTACGGATTCAAGACAGGAAGTGTATTGTTCACTAGAATATTTGATATCTCTGCAATGCGCAATTTCACCCTCTTCCCTTGATATAAATCTTTAGATTTAAACTACTAATTAAAAAAACATGGTTTTCTCATCCCTTGGCCCATGATATATATATATATCTTTATATCTGCATCATGTATAGAACCGGGTCATGCACATCTTTTAACCCTAAACATAGATAAAAGATATATATATATATATTTATATAAACATAAATTTGCAATACCTGACAATGTACATTGTACAATGTAAACAGATTATTTTTTACAAAATATTTCTTATCTTAATTCTCTTATCATCAGACAGGGATTTAAATACTTCTCAAAACCCTTCAAAGTTTACCTTACCATTAAAATTGAAGAAAGGGGGGAATCATTTATGTTATCCAAACATATTTTTGAGCAATGTTCAACCTTAATTTTTTCAAGAGTTTTGCTTAAAATCGAGTTAATTCTAAATTTTTGTACTTTTGCAATCGTTGCGTTCTACTCCTATTTTACACTTATTCATCGTATCATCGTATACCAGGCACAAATTAGTTTCATTAACAAATTTTTTACATTTTTTTCACAGAGGAAAAATTACTTCAACCCTGTATTGGATACAAAAATTTACTCTAAATCAGATAATTTGTAAGCAAAAAAGCACAAGAAGCAAATAAAAGTTAAAGCTAAAAAAAGAAATTGCTTTATTTATGCAATTTAAAAAAATCATCTTTTGTGCTGATAATGTAAAACACGACAAGATGTGTCAAAAATGTTCAGAATTGTCATTTTTCAGATCTTTAAAAATAAATTTAAATTTGCATGTCTCACAGTGATCCGATCTAATCCTATAGTGTCAAAACAATTATATTAGTTTCCAGTTGAAAACCCATAATCTACACATCACGCTAAATCTTACATAAAATAAGCACAGAGGGAGGGGTAAAATGACCCTCCTGAAAAGAATCATGTGAGTGCATTTTCAAGCGACCCTCTTTACAAAGATGGCAATACCCGATTTACAACGGTACCCTTAAAATCTTAATCTGATCAAAAACATGTGGAAGATACCGTTGTTTTTCTGAATCAAGAAGTGTTTCTTCTTGTAAGCAAGAAATGAGCAAATCACTTTTGCAGAACACCTAATAATAAAAATAAACAGTGGTACCGTTGTTAATTGGGCATTGCCATCTTTGCATGCTCACTTGAAGTTACACCAAAGCAAAAAACATTTTTTTTTCAAAAAAAATGAGTTTTAAAAGAATTTCTAATACAGTATCTTCGCTGATACGCAGAGATATACATTTAATTTTTAACTTAAAATTATGAATTATTCCTATTTTTAAACTATAAAGATATAAATGTTATTAATGTCTAAAAAACATTGATGTAGACGTTTCTTGGTATACATACTCTTAGATTTTCCTTCTTCTAAAAAATGTTTACTATTTCCAACAGTTTTGTATTTATACCATATATATTTGTGCCAGCTTGGGAACCCAGCTTTGCCTGAAAACCAAATGCTCTCTTATAAGTCAACTCACGTACTATAGAATTTTAAATAAAAATTAAAACATTCCCGTGGGTTTACAGAATTACCCAATCAAAATTTTAGGCAAGTTGATCAACAGGTTTACAAGTTATGATCGGACAAACAAGAAAACAGAGATTACTAAATAATTGTCGTAAAACATTTTTTAAAAAGTGAATATTTGCAAATTATCTTTTTTCTATCTCATGATCCATTTGACAGTCCATTTTTTTGTTAATCTTTTTTTTCTTGTGGTTTTAAACAATTCTTTTTCGATTTTGATGGTTATTATATCGTTAAAACTGACGAGGGTCAACCCAGACCGAAATATATTTTCAATAAATGTGGAACTAACATCTATTTTTTTACTCTACAGAGGTTTAGTTCATCACCATCACCGAATTTTAGAAATTACTACTTCATATTTTTAGATATCTTTAGATAACTATGCTTGTTAACCCACCTTTGCCTTGAAAACAAATTTCGCTATAAAATTTTATTAAATCAAATGTAAATGTTTAAACCAAGCTAGAGGAATAATCCTGTGATTCTACCAAAATATTGTTTACGAGTTATGTAAAGATCTGGGTTAATCTAATTCAATTCCATGCAAGATTAAAATCCTTCCTGTTTCACTCATAGCTCCTCTTATTGAATTGAGAGATATTAACCCTATTCCAGCTGGGGGGGGGGGGGCCCCTAGGGTGCCTCTGAAAAAAACCCCAGGTGTGCGACACATTTTTAGTAAGCATTGGGGTAAACGAGCTCAAATACGAAATTTTAGCATTTAATAATGTTTTTTTAGATATTAATTTTTAGGAGTTATAATTTGTATACTGTGAAAAAATGCAATAATTTCTTTTCTTTTCAGAATGGTTTTTTGGCTGAAATTTATTTTCTTTACTTTTTTATCATCAGGTAACCCCTTTTCAATATAATAAAGCTTTATTCTAATATACATATATTTGTATGTATATCAGGCTGAACCGAATTGGCAGAAACCTTTGAGGGAATAAAATCGTGCACTTCAGCTAGTTATTCATAAAAGAAGAAGACAGACTATAGTACAGGGTGACCTAATAAACATGTGAATTAAGTGAAGATTCCTTTATCGTCTTTTTTTCACGCGGCATTGTTTTGTCAACAAGATTAACACTCTGGTCTCAACTTTTTATGCACCTGAAAAATTGATAGAGATGTTGAGAAATTTGTCCAAATTCCATATTTAAAAAACATGTTCAATATAGTTGATATTAAAACCATCAATTGTAAAGTTAATAAGATGGAATACTACTTTTTTGAAATCTCATAAGACGTACACTTCTTTTTTACTTATAGTACAGTCAAATTTTGAAACACTATGTCAATTGTCAATTATCAAAAATTTAAGACGAATTTCGAGTGGCCTATTAATGCTCGTGTTTTTTGGGACACCCGTCACCAGCAGGGAAAATGTGCCAATTCCCTTTAAATACGTCTGTGCAAAAATTGTGCTAACTGATTGCTTTTGTTATCGGCTTTCTAAAGAGCTGTAAAATGTTAAAATTCAATGACTGAAAGTAGGTCTAAATATACAGATATAGTCTGGTATAGTTAAAATAAGGCATTTAGGCAGCATGCTTGGGCAGTAGGTATAAAAGCCCAGTAGGTATAAAGGCTGGGGGGTCTGAATCTATGCTTAGCCTGGGGGGGGCGTTTGGCGCCACCCCCTCCCTAGAAAAAGGCCTTCGAGAATAGGTATTGAATAGGTATTGGATTGAACGGAATGTTCATAGCCCCATTTTTCATCGCCAGCTCAAAGAAAAAAAAAATAGACCGATAACTTTAATAGTTTGGAGGGTGGAAATAGGGGAGGGTGTAAAAATATGCCAAAAAAGAGTTTTAAAAATTAAAAAATACTTTTTTTGTTTTAAGTAAATATCAAAGTGTGACACATGTTTCTTCATGCATTTTTCACGAACTTTTTAGAATATAGTGTTTAGATCTGTAGCTTCAGTCATTAAAATTCACAAAATTTCACGATGAAAGTGTCAAAAATGAGAGTGCGAACACAAAAAACTACAGGGGGGGTGGCGTCAAACGCCCCCCCCCAGCTTGTTTAGGGTTAAGTAAGGTGCATGGGTTAGTTGGAAAAGCCAGAAAATTTGAGCTTCCTAGCTAAAATACTTTTTAAGTTATCGCAAAAAAATTAGGAGTGGGGTCAAATTGACCCCCCCCCCTCAGGCCAAATAGAGTTAAAAAAGTTTACAAAAATTCCTTCAACCGTAAAGTCAGGTTTAAGGAATTACGGCTCAAGCCCCAGTTTTAAATCGTGGGCTCTGATTTCTGATTTTTATTTGCCAGACACGGACGATTTGTTTGCAGAACACAAACAGAAAAATAAAATACTGATCGGTTGCTACACATTTAAAGTTAATTCTTAAACAATCTTTTTATGCAAAGAAGAATTTTACAAGATTAAATATTTGTTTGATTAAGCAGGCCTGGGATTACAAGCTCCTGGAGATGATCCTAATCCCGGATGTTTGCCTGATGATAATGCTGAACCTCCGGCTTGTGATGATTACACAGAGCAAACATTCATCCCTCATCCATACAGTAAGCTCACAAATATGTTAAAATAATTACTAAATAACTTGTTCTTACGTTTGCTTATAGATATTGCACTGATTATAAAACTAATTTTAAGCAGAATGCTCCCTTTAAAGGAATTGATGATTTGCCACAAACTCTGATTTCTAATCCATATAACTTAGCAACCCAATGTCGTAGACCTGAGATATTTCAAACTATGAATTTTGTTAGATCAAATAATCTATGTTTGAATTATCAAAGGGTGACGCCATTAGGTTGCAAATATACAGGGTTTCTTTGATTCGAGTTTGTGGGAAAGACTCCGATTCTTTAGACTATCAGACTATAGTGACTTAAGTCAATGCTGGACTGGAATCATCCCATTGAGCACTTCATTAAGATACAATAGTTTCTAAAAGTGAATAGTTAACAATTAGATAAATTGAACGTAAAGAAGAACAAAAATAAACAATTGAATATTGAATGGCTTAATGGTAACATTTTGTGACACTGTTAATTTTATTTTGGCCATACTAATGATTAAAAATCGGTCAACTTGTTGACAGCGCTGCTGACAGAGCCTGTCCACTACGTTAATTCAGCCAACGTTCTTAATCGTTTATCCAGTCCCTAACTGAAAAAATATTTTCAAATCTGTAACTAAAAACGTATCTTTTTAATTGAATAAAACTTAAAACTTAGTTTAAAATAACAATATACTACAGTGAAACCCTTAATAACGAATACATCGAAAGAATTCATCAAATGTCATATTCTTAACTTTCCGATAATGGAATGTTGCAGATATTTAGTTTTTTAATTAAATGAGTATATGGAAATCTTTAAAACTGTTTCCACATATTCATGGCTATTTATTTATGTTCTCAAATACTGAAATTTATGTAATGTAGTATAAAACTCATTGAAAAATTGTCAAGACGACATTTGATAAATTCTTCCGATGTATTCCGTTGTATATAGAATGTTAGGCTTCTTAAATCCTCCATTTTATATCTTCCAATTTGGCTTGCGAAGTGGAATACTAACTGTATATTTTGTTTTAGACTGTAGTCGTTTTTGGGAATGTGAACCCCAAAGGGGGCATTGCCTGCTGGACTGTCCTCCTATTAACCCCTCTGAAAATCTTTATTTCAACCCAACAATTAACATTTGTGACTGGCCTGAGAATGTTGACTGTGAAATGTCCGTGGATTGTGATTGTGAGGCATGGCAAGCATGTGTATTAGGTAAACAAACACACTCCTCTTCTTCCATCAATTATTAAGAACTGTCTAGGGAGTAGAGATGTCAACGATAGTGTAACGTAACGTAAAATGTACGTTTTTGTACGTTACGTTACAATAATGTGTAACGTTTAGATATATTCTATATAACGTGAACGTTAAACGTTAACGTTATAGGACCTCATACCTAACGTTAACGTTAGAGGAATATACCCCCAACGTTATCGTTTTGTGGAAATGTAACGTTATTTTTCTAATATCTACAACTTTTTTGATCATAACGTAAAGTAATGTTTTGTTTCCAAAGGGAGCTTGAAAGTCTAAAGTTTGAAAAATGAATTGTGATTTGATTGAATATCGTAACGAAAGGATTTCTATTTCAAAGTTCAACTTATAAAAAGTGTAACGTTGTATAACTGAAAAATTTTTTTCAATAACATTTACTAAAGCTTAACGTTGTATAAGGTATTCAAGTGCAGAAAATTCGTTACGTAACGTTACTCTATACCATAAAATTTTAAAATGTGCAACATAACGTTTCAAACGTTAATACTTTTGATGAACACGATCGTAACGAAAGCTAAAATCTAGAAAAATCAAAACGTTGACATCTCTACTAGGGAGATGGATGGACAGTATTAATTCAACTTTGCTTGCCCAGAATAAAGGAATTGTTTTTTGTATAAAAACAATTTTTTTAGTGTATTCAAGCCAAACCAGCTTAAATGATCTGTTTGAAAAGTTGGGCTGAAAAAAATGCCAAGAAGCAATTAACGCACACATTTAAATCATTGACCTTTTTTCATCATACTTTAAAATGAACAAGCTAATTTTTACTCTGGAAGTTTCATAAATAATAGTATTTTTGATCATTTTATCATTTATAAACGATGGAAATAAGTGATCTTTAATTTTTATAAAAATAAAAGAGGATTATTTAAAGGTAAATGTACACCTGAATGTAAACAAGACTCCCACTGTACTGCTGAGGAGTACTGTAATGAAGGGGGAAACTGTGTTAAAGGATGCAGAGAATCAGATGTTTGTGGATCATGTGGTCAATGTGTTGATCATGTTTGCCAAGAGCCAGAGTGTTGTCTAGATTCAGATTGTCAGGTACATTACAACATTCTTTATACTAAGAACAATAATTTGATTGACCATTAAACACATTTTTTATTTGAGAAGAAACCTGGCGGCTACAAGAGCCATTATGCTATCAACCTTAAAAGTTTCTTCACAGATGGAAAATGTGTTGGCAAGATTTAGATTTTTTATAAAATATAGATTTTTATAGAAAAATGATGGCTCCGTACAGGCAATTTTTTTTAATCTTTGCTTAAACATCAAAATTTATGGGCTATAATTTGCCAGCTCTCTCTTCTTGTGCTCCTTATTTTTCATGGGGGGGGGGGGACATCCCCAAATTTTCCAAGGAAGGAGGCTTCCCTCCAATTTTCCAGGGTGGGAGACGTCCCCCCATTTTTCAAGAGAGGAAGACTTTCCCCTTCCCCCCCATAAGCCCCTTCTGCTTATTCGTATTGGCTTGAGTTAAAAACTAACCAACAGCAGACCAACAGGGCAAACAGAGAGACATTATGAAGAGTAGGCACATGAATTATCTTTATTTGCAAATATTAGTACTCTGGTTTTAATTTGAAAGAAATCTAAATACTTATATCTATGTTAATAGTTTAAACACAATAAAAGGATTTCTTCAAACAGTGAATGTAATAAAATGTGTCTCTTAAACTCTTTGTAAATAATTGTTTATATCTGTAGGATGCATCCACTTGTGTGGGAGGGATCTGCACTGAACCTCTGTGTAGTGTAGATGCAGACTGTAATGAAGGAGAATACTGTAGTACTGAAGGTTGTATTCCTGGGTGTACTAGTGATACTAGTTGTCCAACAGATGAGTACTGTGATACTTCTGAACACCAATGTAAGGAAGGATGCAGGGGAGGAAATAACTGTGGAACATGTGGAGAATGTGTCAACCATATTTGCCAGGAGCCAGAATGCTGTCAGGATTCAGATTGCAAGGTAAATTAAGCCGCACTGTGAGTCAAGGGTTTCACAAGTTTTCAAAGCCTTCTAGGAAAAAATGAAGAATTGAACAGCAAAAGGCAAGTTGTTTTCTCCATTTTTTGATACTTTGACCCAAATTTTATTTATATATACCCCTTAAAATCATCTTATTTACCCCAAAATCTGCAAATTTACCCCAAAATCTGTAAGTTTACCCCTAATATCTGTAAGGAATCAAGAAAATATATACCGAGCTGTGTGTATTCTTTGAAATTAGTAATTTAAGCGTCTTGGTCTTTTAAATGGATGTGTAAAAATATTTCAGGAATCAACAAGAAATAAGTGGCAAACCCTTTTTTGTATTTTCATCACAGTGGATAAATGTATTCTGTTTTAAACATACCTGCTCAATGTAGTAAGTTAAGAGCTTGCACAGTTTCACCAAATGCAGAAATCTTAATATTTTTAATTTCGAGATAAGCGTTATGCAACCAATTCAGGTAAAGGGAGGCAAATCAAATTTTTGCTTCTCTGTATCCATTGCAATTATGCTGCATTAATATTTATAAAAACAAAAACTTTTACATAGAATGAATTCACCTGTGTGGAAGGGGTCTGCACTGAACCTCTGTGTAGTGTGGATGCAGACTGTGATGAAGGAGAATACTGTAGTACTGAAGGTTGTATTCCTGGGTGTACTAGTGATACTGGTTGTCCAGCAGATGAGTACTGTGATACTTCTGAACACCAATGTAAGGAAGGATGCAGGGGAGGAAATAACTGTGGAACATGTGGAGAATGTTTCAACCATATTTGCCAAGAGCCAGAATGCTGTCAGGATTCAGATTGCAAGGTAAATTTAGCTGAGTCAAGGTTTTACATTTTCACAAGTTTTTGAAGCGTTCTGGTGAAAAATGAAAAATTGAACAGTAAAAGGCAAGTTGTTTTCTTCCATTTTTAATACTTTGACCCAAAATTTCATTTTTTTACCCCTTAAAATCATCTTATTTACCCCAAAATCTGTAAATTTACCCCGAAATCCGTAAGTTTACCCCTAATATCTGTAAGGAATCAAGAAAATATATATCAAGCTGTGTGTAATTAAAAATTAGTAATTTAAGCGTCTTGGTTTTTAAATGGATGTGTAAAAATATTTCAGGGAGCAACAAGAAAAAAGTGGCAAACCCTTTTTGTATTTTCATCACAGTAGATAAATGTATTCTGTTTTAAACATATCTGCTCAATGTAGTAAGTTAAGAGCTTCCACAGTCTCACCAAATGCAGAAATCTTAATATTTTTAATTTCGAGATAAGCGTTATGCAACAAATTCAGGTAAAGGGAGGCAAATCAAATTTTTGCTTCTCGATATGCATTGCAATTATGCTGCATTAATATTTATAAAAACAACAACTTTTACATAGAATGAATTCACCTGTGTGGAAGGGGTCTGCACTGAACCTCTGTGTAGTGTGGATGCAGACTGTAATGAAGGAGAATACTGTAGTACTGAAGGTTGTATTCCTGGGTGTACTAGTGATACTAGTTGTCCAACAGATGAGTACTGTAATGTCTCTGAACACCAATGTAAGGAAGGATGCAGGGGAGGAAATAACTGTGGAACATGTGGAGAATGTGTCAACCATATTTGCCAGGAGCCAGAATGCTGTCAGGATTCAGATTGTGAAGTAAGTTATATAAACTATTAAAGTTCTGGTCATTTAATGAATTACCTGTAAACAAACATAACATAAATATAGTAGCTTGAGAACACAACATTGCCCAGGGTACTCATAGTTACTCTTGCCGTTTCCCCAGACTTGGTTGTTAATTACTATTTTAGCTATATTTCCCTGCAAAAGTTTACCTACTCAACTTAGAATCTCGAAACCAAAGTAAGAACATTTCCATGATTCTCCTGAGTTCCCAATTTTGAGGTTAATTGGTCTAGGGGTCCTGGAGTTATTATTGGACATCAAAACAAACAGAGATTACTACTTTTTATTAAAGAATGATTGTTATTTATTATGAAAATATATATTTTTATGCTAGGATGGAACTGTTTGTTCAACTGCTAATGTGTGCATACCTGGATGCCGATCTAGTGAAGATTGTCCTGGTTGGGATCAAATCTGTAATAGTTCCCTCAGCAATTGCTTCTACTGCAACCAGATTACTCACCAGTGTACTCAAGGCAGGACCAATATAATTTCACAACTAATTCTCATTTTCTGGGAAATAGATTTTGGAATTATCAGAGTTATTGTTATTGTTATTCTGTTCATCATAAACTAAACTGTTTCATTTGGGGTGCAAAATGATGCAATTTTTTTAACATTTTGTATAAACTTTATAAAAATATAATGTTTAACAGTTTAACTGTGCCAATATGAGGGATAGAGGCTGAAACTTCCACGCACCTCGGACCCTTCAGTAAAAGTAAATTAAAACTAAAGTCTGACGGCGTCAATATTTGTTGCTCTAGCTAGTCCTATTGAGTGTCTCCTTCATTTACCCACTGACCGGTTGATACAGTAAAATCTGGAAAAGTTGACTGGGCTCGGAAATTCAAATGTACTAAAGCTGCCCATTCTTCAGGAGTAATAGGGATGTTCTGTCAAAAAAAGCTTGCTTTTCATTATTTTATCGGAATGGAATTTTAGAGATGGCATTTTATTGACTCTTGATTGGAGGTTGTGATGCAAGCCCTAACTGTGGAGGATATGCTTGTAACAATGATCATGAATGTCTTGTTGGACTCCAGAGTATAACATTAAAGACTCAATCCTGTACTGGATGCCAGGGGGCCCAGGTAATAACAACTTGAAATTCACCATCATTTAACTGAACATATTATGCCAACTAAATAACAAAATTGCTTTATTAAATAAATAATGAGAAGTAGAAATAAGAAATTTAGTTAGTAGAGTTCTGCACTACAAATAATAGAAAATAGATTGAGAATTGAAATATTGCATTAAACAATTCTATTAATGTGGTAGTTTCCATTTCTTACAGAAGTTTTTTCAAATATTTAGAAAAGTTTTAGAAATTAAAGTGACAGTTGAAAACTCATCTATTCTCAATATGCTTGGAAGTCGAAAAAACAAATATACTTAGGATCTTTCGTTGTAATTTCAAATGACATCCATTGTTTCTGAAGGAGACATCTGTATGAGAAATCATAATTGAAAACAATCCATTTTTAAAGAGGACTGATTTTTATATGTAATGAATTCTTGACCAGAAATAGCTGTGAAGGGTACTGTTATGAATTGAACCAGCAACTCTAAAAATGCAGAGTTACTTCAAATCAAATCTGTGATAGTTCCCTCAGCAATTGCTTCTACTGCAACCAGATCACTCACCAGTGTACTCAAGGCAGGGAGCAATATAATTTCACATCTAATCCTCCTTTTCTGGGAAATAGATTTTAGAATTATCAGAGTTATTGTGAAATTTATTCTGTCCATCATGAATTAAATGTTAGAAATGTTTATTAAATTTGGGGTGCAAAATGCTGCAAATTTTTTAAACATTTATTATTATATAAAAATTTTAAAGTTTGACTGTGCCAATATGAGGGATAGAGATTGAAACTTTTGTGTCCGAATTTAATAAATAAATTAAGGCCGCATCTCAAATCCCCAAAGGCCGGGTTGAAATAAGGGCGGGCCAGCTTGAATCTTGAAAAATTTAATACAATTTTATGTGGAACCAATCATATTTGAGCCGCGGCTTGAATTTAAGCCACGGCTAACATTCTTTAAATTCGGCCTCAGGAGTAATAAGGATTCTCTGTCAAAAATAGCTTGCTTTTCATTATTTGTATGTGCTTACCACAATCTGAATGGAATTTTAGAGATGGCATTTTATTGACTCTTGATTGGAGGTTGTGATGCAAGCACTAACTGTGAAGGATATGCTTGTAACAATGATCATGAATGTCTTGTTGGACTCCAGAGTGTAACATTAAAGACTCAATCCTGTACTGGATGCCTGGGGGCCCAGGTAATAAAAACTTGAAATTCACCATCATTTATATGTTTCTTAACTAAACATGTTACGCCAACTTGTTCAACTTCAACAAATTTTTAGTTAATGATATGCTAAAATAGCAAAACTCTTTCCTTGCAATAGATTTAGATCTTTAATGTTTCTTGTCTTGTATATATATATGTACATGAAATATATATGCTGCTGAAGAATGTCCAATATGAAACACAGTGTCCAGCAATAATCAATCTTAATAAACAATAAAACATGCTTTAGACTTATTTTATATATATTGCAGTTGCCCAAGAAGTTACATGCACTTGCCGGGTTAAATTACAAGAAAGAGAGAGATAAGTATACCTTTCTGAGTCGAGCGCTAGGCTAGAACAGGCTAGGGGGCTGAACACCATCGCTAGAACAGGCTCTTGCTCTGTCTTGTAAATCAATGCAGCATGTGCATGAACTTCCTTTAGCTTTTGCCTATATATTATACATCATATTTTATGAAGAAAATTTCCCTGATTTTTGGTCGACTTTTAAAATTGTTGACAAATAAAAAAATGAATGAGGGAAACATTTAAAATTTGACCGGCTATAAACCTGGAGAGTTTCTGAATAATTTTAGTTTTTTTGACGTTCCAAGAGGTTTAAAAAAAATTAAAATTTTCGTTTCTGTTTTAAAAATGTTGTAGCTCAGATAGCAACAAGACCATAGGCTCTACCTAGATTTGATTCATACATCTACCACCTAATACTCCTTTAAAAGAGTGTTTAAAACTGTGTTCCTAATTCCTCAAATTGAATGTTTGTGTTCAAATAAATAAGTAATCTTTTTGTAATAATTTTCATTTTTATATATTTAGGGATCAGCAAAAGAAGATGGACCATTTATTATTCTTCTGGGAGGTGGAGGGCAGACCTGTAATACAAAGCAACTAGATAATCCAGACAAAATAGATTTTGACAACGGCAAAGTTGCATTGTTTTCTGATTCAGACCTCCTCCAGTCATGTGATAAAGCTGATCTAGGAGATCATATTATTGGTGGATCTGTACACTGGACTGCTAATCAAGGGCTTTGGCAGCCGGCTAAAAATCAGGTAATACTTTTATTCAGTCGATCATTGTTTAGTGACAGGGGGTGAAAGGGGTGAGAAAAGTGAAAGGAGTGAAAAGGACTAAATAGTGGGGTAAAGACTGGAAGACTTGAGGGGTGATGAAGGTGAAGAACTGAGGGTCGGGTGAAGGGGGTATCAGGAAGAACTGAGGGTGGAGTGAAGGGGGTGTCAAGAAGAATTAAGTTGGATGAAGGTGACATTTGGAGGGCTGAGTATGACTTTACTTTTCTTGATAAATTTTCATATTCTCACAAAAATGTGAATTCAAAAACTATAATTAAGAATAAATATTTAGATCCAGATAAACTGGAGCGATAGTTCTGTAGGAGGTGAATGTTGTTGTATGAAAGGACCCTCCTTGAGTTCTCAGAACAGGATTGGAAGCCTGTATACCTGTACAAAATGTTCTTCACATCCTGGATGTTAGATACGTTCTAGACAGAAATATTATTTTTCTGCAACGCTAATCCAAAAAGCCGGACATTTTCCCTTTCATGCTTTTTTTGTCTTCCGCAGCCATAAGCCACGACCGTTGAGTCTTCCATGCCACAACATTTGAGTCATCTGGTAGTTTTTACATGTTCAAATGGTAAATTTAGTGTCTTGAAATAGTATTTTTTTAATTCAGCCGTGTCATTCAAAAGATATAAATATAAAAAACGTTATATTTAAGTTGTAACTGGAAACACAATTAGATTCCTTTTGATGTATAAACTGCCAAAGGTATTTTCCTCTTAAACTAAATTCAAACTTCCCTCTAAAATGGCTTATTTTTGAAAACATTATAAACAATAAAATGATGCATCATATTATACTCTTTAAGTTCAAAGGGCGCCCATAACCGAAAAAGTGCACTATTTAACGAGGAAATTGCAAAAATAGATTTTTTTTGTGGAAATCTGTAACACTTAGTTGTAATTGTAATATTTCTCATCTTTTCTTTTTCTATAGACTCCCACAAACAATTTGTTTTGGTGCACACAATTGGCACACTATGATATAACATCTTCTTTGTATAATGAAAAGCAGTTCATTGATCTTTAAATTTATCATTTAAAAACGCAAATACTGCCAAAAGAATCAAATGTTGTGGCATTGAAGAACGAACGGTTGTGGCTTAGGCAGAAGGTTAGGGAAGTTACGTGCGAATGCCAAGTTGAATTACAAGACAGAGAGAGAATCTGTTCTAGCCGGGCGCTTGGCCCCCCAGCCTGTCTTAGCTGTGGCGCTTGGCCCCCCAGCCTGTCTTAGCTGGGGTGCTCGGCAAGTGCATGTATCTTCCTTGGGCAACTGCCTTTGGCTTATGGCTGCCAGAAGACAAAAAAAGCTAATATGTGACAAGGAAGGGTAAAATTTTGTGGCTTATGGCCGCTTGCCTTCCCCCACTCATCCAAACAAAAGATTTAAATGCGTAAAAGATTCTTTGCCAAGAATTCTAAAAATCAAATTACAGAAAAGTTTTTAAACAAATTAACAGTTCAGGCGAAAATATATTTGATATAAATTCTTTTTATCGTGATTCAAAATATACATAATATACACTATTGCTCAATTATTTATGCATAAGTATGAGAAAGTTCTCATGAAATAACAAAATTGCTTTATTAAATAAATAATGAGAAGTAGAAATAAGAAATTTAGTTAGTAGAGTTCTGCACTACAAATAATAGAAAATAGATTAAGAATTGAAATATTGCATTAAACAATTCTATAGAGGTAGTAGTTTCCATTTCTTACAGAAGTTTTTTCAAATATTTAGAAAAGTTTTAAAAATTGAAATGACAGTTGAAAACTCATCTATTCTCATCTATGCTAGGAAGTCTAGAAATCTATAAAAAATAATTAAACCTAACGTCAACTGTTTTCAGTTTATTTACACGAAAACAAATAAACTTAGGATCTTTTGTTGTAATTTCAAACGACATCCATTCTTTCTGAAGGAGACATCTGTATGAGAAATCATAATTGAAAACAATCCATTCTTAAAGAGGACTGATTTCTATATGTAATGAATTCTTGACCAGAAATAGCTGTGAAGGGTACTGTTGTGAATTGAACCAGCAACTCTAAAAATGCAGAGTTACTTAAAAAAAGTCTAATTCTTTTTAAAGTTAGTAAATAAATGTACTTTTTGTAATTAGAGACTTGCGCATTATGACTTGTTCAGTTACTTGATACTAAAATTTTCTTTTTGATATCTAAACTTTATTGTTCAGTTTACCATTTTTCAAAAGTTTAAATACTTGTAAAATTCTACAACAAAGGAATTCAGTTTCTGCCACAAAGTCGAATTTTGTTTTCCCTAAATCTGTACAGCCCATTGTCGTAGACCTTTGATATTTCAAACTTTGATATCTGTTAAATAAAAAAATCTGCGTTTGAAATATCAAAGTTTATTAAACCCAGTTGCAGAGATATAGCTGGGTTTGAAAAATAGAGTTAGTGGCAAAAACTCAGTTCCTTTGTATAGGTTTATTTTAAAACTATTTATATATTTCATACATTTTGCAGAGAGGATGTTCTTTACCCAAGCATTCTGGTCCTTTCTTCTAGCATATTTTGTTGTACATGTATTAGTGTTCATTTTAATAAAAGTACATTCTTAATATCAATCAAACATGACTTAATTGGAGAAAATGTCAGTGTTGTTATAAAAAAAAATCTTTAAAACTAGAAGTTTTGAATAAATTAAATAGTAAATTACAATTTCCATATCAATGTAAAACATTCATGAATAACCGGTGTCCAAATTTAATGAATTTAAGCCGGATCTCAAATCCCCCAAAAACCGGTTTCAATTGAGTGCCGGCTTAAATCTTGAAAAATTGAATACAATTTTAAGTGGAACCAATTATATTTGAGCCGCGGCTTAAATTTAAACAACAGCTCAAATTCTTTAAATTCGGCCTTGGGTTAACATAATTAGTTTTCTTGCAAATTAAGCCGAAGTCATACTTTTAAGACCAAATTATGTCTGAGAAGCTTTCTAAGTCACAACTTTTTCTAAGACTTATTCCAATGCACAACTAAGACTCATTTTAAGGCACCATTTAAAGACAAACTCATTAGACCTAATTATCTCTAAGACACTTTTCTTAGTCACAGCTTTAAGACACATTCTTAGTCACAATTCTAACTCAAACCCATGTGTCTATAAGTCATGGTAAGATATACATGGTAAGTTAAAAACACAGTTACATCTAAGATTGTACGCTCGGTTCGAGGACTATTATAATTTTTCCACATTTTTGCGGACAGTCTGATAAAACTAAATTCCCTTCAAGTATCTCAGGTCGATGATAAACCAGAAAATACAAGTAAGGTGTTTTTCCCTAGCACTCTCATATTTGATAGTATCATCGTGAACTTGTAAATGGTGGATATCGGTATTAATGCAAGATCCAGTGTCTTTCGTAATCTCGAGATTAAATACTGATTGTTCTCTTGCTGTTTATCTCTGCAGATTAGTTAACCGATCTGGATTCAGGATATCGCATTCTAAAGTTTTTAGTTCAGCACATTTTTCCATTTGAATCTTCTCATTTTTTCACTCTCAACTTCAAGAGTGATTCAGGTCATTCTTTCATTTGCACTTTTCATTGAGAAACAGGGTTCCCCACAGAGAATGAGACTTCAGAAACAACTAAACAGAATCATAATAGATTGTTTCTGTATATTAATAATTCTCTTCATCTGTACTTGGTAATTTCTTTGCTAAATCATATTATAAGCTATTTCATTACTTAATAGAATAGAAGACTAAATTTAAGTTTGTGATCATAATATTTAAGAGTGTCAGGTCCTCTTTGTAGTATCATCCTTTGTGGGTAACCCTGTACATAGGTAGAAACCTTTGCGTTAAAATTTTTATTCACAGCGTCAAAAGTCTCATTTTATGTGGATAAATCTTTTATAGACTAATCTAAAGTCTAATGTTGGAATTCTGGTCTTTATAAAATAGTTGATTACTGTAGAAGAACAGGAAATAATCTTATTATCTCATTATATTCTTCAGTCAAGATCAAACTTTCCACTGAAAACTTGTAATTCTGGTTTTCATGAAGAATAATTCTTCTCTAACTGAGGTATGTAATTCCTTCTTAAGCTGAGCTTATTTAAGAATTAAATATATAAATATCCAATAAGATCCTTGGAAACCTGATGTTGAATAATAACATTAACAATACCTTCAGCCTGATAAACTGGGTTCTAGAAGTCCCTGGGATGTGTCTCTGATTTTTACACCTGAAATGAAGGTAAAAAAAAGTCTCTTTTTGAATTTGAATATTATCCCTTTTTAATGGATTCTCAGAATAAAAACTTTTCTTACACATTTAGTATTGATGTCTATTGAGGTTGGTTTGAAACAAATCCCCTTCTCAGAAACATTAAATAGAAATGAAAGTTTTACCTCAAATAATTTAAGTCTTTGTCGCAAAATCCTTTGATTCTAATCCTTTTTCTTTGCAACCCAATGCTGTAAACCTTAGATAAAGGAACTGAGTCTTTGCCACAAACTCAGATTTTCTAACCCCGGATTTTTTTACCCCGATGTCGTAGACTTTTGATATTTCAGACTATGAAAATATCAAAATCAAATCCTTATAAACTATAAATTCCTTTATGATCGAATTATCTAAGTTAACCCTGTTCCTGCTAGCACACTGCCTGAATGACTGCTTTTGCCTGTAACAAACTAAATCTTTGTTTTGACCCACTTTCACTTGTCAGATTTGATAAAATTTAGCTTTTTGGAAAGACTATGACATAAGGAAACGGATTGCACAAGTTTTGCGAAAAAAATTGCAAATTTTTTGCAAACAACTTGTCAAAGGAAATTTGCACATTTTTAGTTTTCTTGATTAAAAATCAGGATATTTAAAATTTTGAAAATTTTTTATGCATATTTGAAATGGCATGGTGAAGGGCCTTTTAAAAATGTATAATTTTTCATTTTTTGGACAAATTTTTTTTTGCAAACATTTTTACTATATAACTGGATTTTGCGTTAAAAAATTCTATTTTTGCAAATTTGCAAATTTTTTTGCAGATTCTAAAAGTAAAGCACAAGAGCTTTCTAATGATGTATCATTTGTCATATTTGGACATAAAACATGGGATTTAGAGGGGGGGGTCAAATTGACCCCCCAAGCATATCCTGGTTTTCAAGTACCCCAGCAGGGATAGGGTTAAAAATATCAAAGGTTTGCACACCTTTCATTTTCACTTAAATAGTCATGTTAATTACAGTTTAACTAGTTAATCAATTGTAGAATGATTAAGGTTCATATTATTCTATATAAAATATATCAAAATTGTTCGTATTCTGTTATATGTTTTTTTTATTTCTTTTTCTGCAGATCTACAGAAAAACATTACTAAAATTTTTGCTATCTTAGGTTTACTGTGCAGTTCTCTTCATTCTATTCCTCGTCACTTTCCTGTTGGTCGTAGCAGTGGTTCTTTGTGTCAAGTCCTGTTTAGCTCAGAGAGGATTTGGAGCTGAATGTTTTGGGATTGCAAAATATGATTTCACATGCCAACACATCTGCAGGTAGATTCTACCTCCAGTTGGGGATTCATATACAAAGTGTTTAATCACGATAGAAAATTTTTTTTTTCTGTGAATTAAAAATCCGTTAGCCAAAATTGAGAATAAAAAAAAACCTTGAATATCTTAATAATTTTTAATTTTACGAAGGGTAATATTGAAAATTGAACATGCCACTCACTTTGAGGTTACGTGTACAGTCCCTTTAATAAGTTTTTTTTTATAAATTTCATATCAATGATATGCTAAAAGGCCTTGGGAGGTGACAAAGGAAATGAGTTAGTGTGAAAAAACGAAATCTAGACTTCTATTTGACTAATTACTAATGTATGATTAAACGATTCTTTCCGCTCGGCAACAGCATTTACCGTTCTTTTTCAACCTTTTCTTATCAAATTCTTTTTCATGGCGGAACTTTTCTTTTCTACTTTTCTTATTCATAGAAAGTTGCATTAAGCTTGTCTATTCAGAAGGAAAACTAAAGGATCCTGAATATCAAACTATTTGTATTCTCTTTTTACAGAATTTCAATTACAAGTTATTCTGACAATCAAAAAGAATTTGAAAAATTCAAGAACTTTGATTTCATTTTTCTTTTTTTTATTTTTCAGCGAATTATCTTATTTCTCTGAAACACTAAAATCAGCCAACACACCCTGGTTTAGGTAAGAAATAAGCTTCTATAAAGAGAGTTTACTAGAATTTGACCAGAGGAAGGGACTAAACAAATGAATTTCTAATTGTTTAAACAGTAATCATAATTTTAGATGTATATTTTTCATGATAGAAACTATAGGAGGGGGGTAGGGGGATCTTTTTCAATTTGCTATGAGAGTGTTTGTTTAAGAAATTATATCTTTTAAAATCTTTTAAACTTCTTAACTATTAAATTCAATATGTTCATTGTTCACCTTAAAATTGAATATTCTGTTTTGTTAAAAAAGATTCAGCTATTCATATCTTTATATTTTAAAATTGAAATTCTTTAATTCAAGGACAAAAGACGGGTTGTGTGGAAAAGAATTCTGCCGGAGTTTAGATTGTAGTTGCTGGAATATTTCTTTCAAAAAGGTAACAACATTATTAAGTATTATACCAGATGATTTACAAATTATTGAAAGATGCTTAAAGCTAATATTTATAGCTGAAAAGGACTTCAAAGTTTAATTTTAAGTGACCTTCCATTTTAAAGGGACTTGCCTGATTCACAACGGTACCATTACAACCATTGACTGATAATCAAGTTTTTGGGTTTAAAATTAAAACTAATGAGGAGTAAAGAAGTCACAACAAATCAACTTATATTAAGGTTGTAGATTGTAATTGTGACTATGGGGACCCATATTGTGGAAACTGGAACTGCTTTTGTATTCAATTAAAAATCAGAAGGTAATAATTTTATAAGATAAAAATATATGTTGTGTCAATCATCTTTTTTTTTCTGAGCAAGCGATTTAAAAAATTCTGGAAAATACGGCTCGGGTCTAAGCTGTCGTTGGGCCTCATTCATGGCTTAAGCTTCCGGATTCAAGCTGCATCTTATTTTCCACAGAGTTCCCCATAGTCACAATTACAATCTACAACCTTATTATAAGTTGATTTGTTGTGACAGGCGGATTTTTACGATTGGAATTTGAAATTGACGCATTCCGGGTTTTGATGAGAACAAGACTTAACTTGAGCCTTATTCTACACTAAAACCAACCAAGGTTGGTTTTATTTTCATTGGGCCTAACTCCTAATTCGAGCCTAAGATCTTGCAGCTATCAATCACGTGACAAAAGATGTTGTTAGCGTTGGGTCGAAGATCGGGTCTCAAAGTCGGGTTTACGGAATTACGGCTCGAGTCGAAGTTTTTTAATCGCGGGCTCTGATATATTTCTTTGCCAGAAGATGTAAGGCTGTAAAACAGGGACCGAATTTAATGAATTTGAACTGTCTACCACAGGTTCAAATTTAAATCACCGCTTACTTCCTAAATCCTTAACTTTGTATCGGTGGGTTCAAATTTGAACCGGCAGTAGCTCAAAGTAATTAAATTGATTCGATTCCAGAACTACTACTAATTCTAATTAAAAACAAATAATATTAATTGAATCATTTTTTCTTTCAAACACGTTACAAAACAATCTATTTTAATTTAAAATTAGATTAATAAGAAATATTTAAATTAAGGTTTGGTTGTCAAACAAATGAAGTCGCGATTGCTTAGAAGAAAATTGTGAAGTTTGAATTCAAAGTTCTACATACCTTAATTTTCTAATCTCTGCGTCTTTTGAACCTGATTGTGTGAACCGTTGATATTTTAAACAATTAGATCTGAAACACCTTTAAAATATCAAAGCTTTACGAGTACTACGACATCGGGTTAACAGATACGAGGAATGCCCATTAAAGTTTACGAATTTTGTTTAAAAGTACTTTTAGACATCTCAGCCATCTATTTTTTTCTTAAAAGGCACACTTATATTTATACCGGTTTAATTTTCTGACCAGCTATTGTCAATCAGATAATTATGTTGGACGCAATTAGATTTCTCCTAAGAGACGTAAACGTTGCTTGCTTATAAAAGATTTTACCTATAAACTCCAACTTTACCCATTGATGCGTGTTCTAGAGGTTGGGTATATTTAAGATCAAAGCCTTTTTTGTAGAAAAGGTCCGTGAGGGCTTTTATAGTTGTAATATACGTTTCAACAAACTAATAGCTTTTCCCAACACCTCTTTGGAGCAAATGTTGTCCAAATCTTTGCCATTTTTCAAATCTTGCTTTACAACATTGTCTGCAGCAGCATTTCACTTGATAGACTTATTTAACTTTATCAACTAAGAATCATCGCGAATTTAGCCCGAGAAACTTTGAATTTTTCAACTGTTTGTGAGGTTGTTGTGAATTTTTCCTGCTCAGACATTTCCTCTTTCTGCCAACACTCTCCACTATACTTTTCCTCTTTTAGTCCGCACGTAGACTGTTGCCGTGTCCATATTAATTCCTCTAATGCATTGTCCTCTTTCCCATGTTGGTATCAAAAACGTTCCCGTACTGTGACAGCGGAGCTGAACAATCTCTGGGAAAATGCGAATTACATAGAAATAAAAGGTTTGACGAATAAAGTCCATTGTAGGAGACAAGCGTGTGATATGCTGAGACGACTAGAAGTACATTAAAAAATATTTTCGCAAAACTTTTTGGGTATTAGGGTAAGAAAAATAAGAATTTGAGCTAAAAGTGTGCTGTTCCTTTTGATCTCAATTTGATTTTGGATTCAATCTTAATAAATATAAATGTAAATATACATATATATATTATGTGTGCTGCAAATTGATATGTGTACATATGTAATGATGCCTTTTAGTATTTTTTATACAAAGGAACTGTAGACATAAATCTAAGCTATCCTACATTTTAAAGTAAGGGTAAATTTTAAAAATTTACTTGTATCAATAAAATAAAAAAGGTATTTTTGTATTAATTGTGGTATCTGTACAAAAGTAACAGCTGCGAAAAGGAAGACAATTGATATCCTTGAGTAAAGAGGCTAAAGGTTGCTCGCCACCATTATTAGTTATATCTATCTGATGTCCCTGTCTCGAGAATATCATATAAAACTGTGTTTAAGTTATACGCCAACTCATCTCTATGTGACATGGTATTGGAATCAAAGTAATTAAACAGATCATATTCAGAAAATACGGAACAAATCTAAACATTAATTATAACACACTCTCAGAGGTAACCAGAAATTTTAGGTAAATATAATACTTATATTCATTTTTAATAGATATAATTGGTTTTAAATTTATTTCGTCTGTATCAGGTTACCAGAATTTCCACCAATGTCAGTGCCATGCAGTATCTGTTCATGTGGCTCTGTCGACCATATAGCTCATATAAATGAGTTTTTTTTTCAGCCTATTCATTCTTTCATTTTACCCTAACAAGCCCTTGAACGATAGAAAGATTATACTGAACAATTAAAGATTAAGTTTTACCGATTTGATTTTAGCTTAGAACTCTTTCCATGGAGGGTCACTTCGATTTACAATTACAGTTTTCTTTTACATTAAAGAGAAAACTTTGATTTTAGATTTAAAATAAAAAGTTTTAATAAATTTCGTAGATAATATTTAGAGAAAGAAAAGGGGTGTAAGGAATATAAAAAGATAATTCATTTCCCTTGTTTTTAGATAAATAGAATATAGAATAATTTGTGAATTGGGCGGGTGAATGGTTCATATATTCTCATAGAAAATCTAATATAGGCTTTATGCCTCCCCCTGGATCCATATCTGAAGTTAGAGGAAACTTTCTCATACCAGCAAACATATATATATACAGAGTGTCTCAATAAAAGTTATCTTGTAGGAATTGAAAGTGGTTTTTCAAATTGGAATTCTTTCCAAAAAAGCAATTCTTTTAGGAATTATAACATTTTTTTTAAAAAATGTTATATATTTGCCCTTTTCATCTAAAATAAATAAGGTAGTCTAGCTGAAAACTTAAGGATTGGATACTTTTAATCCCGATCTCTTAATCTGGATATCCAATGAGGACACTTTTAATTGCCTTCATTCTTTTTCTCGCCCTGCTTGTTTCCGACCAATGAGAGTTCACTATTAAGTGACACACACAATTTCAAATTTAACAGCTTCTCTGATTTGCTGTTCTGGTTTCTCCATCCCCACTTGATATCCATAATTCTAAAGCTTTCAGCTCTTTTCTGTGATAGGTCTGATAGGTTATAGGTCTATTGATTTCAAATACACCCTGAATATATTGTATTCTTTTCATTTTTAAATAAAAGAGTAGATTTATATAGGCTTTAATTTACAAAAAAGCAAATACAAAATCTTCATCTGGAAAAGTTACCTCCAACCTTTTTAAGAGCCTAGCTTGGGTGCCTTAACGGTGGGTCATCAAAAAAGTCAAATCGATCCATCCCCACTGGATGTTTATTTTAACTGATTAAAAATATTTTTAAAAAAACATTTACTTCAATTATTCCAATGTCCTACATCTTTATTGTTTGTCCAACGGATATTCAATACAAAATTTCCAAGCTCAGGTTTAAGGGTCATGCGAAAGGAACTGATTTCTTTACACAAACTTAGATTTTATAATTCGTTTATCTTTTTCAACCAAATGTCGAAGCCTTTAATATGATATTCCAAATTATTGTTCATGTTTGAAATATAAGGTTTACATCGTCAGGTTGCAAAGATAAGTTATAGGGCTACGAAAACTTGATTTTGTGGCAAAAACTGAGTTACTTGAACTAAAGTTTAGTGTTGCCGTCATCTATTTTAAATTTTATTCGTGAAGATTCAAACAGTAAAGAAAATATAAAATAGTTTTGATAAAAATAGAATATCTTTATGTTTATTTCTAGAAATACTCTTTTGTTCTTGTTCTCTATGTGAAATTATATCTCCAGTGAGGCATGATATCAGATATTCTTCTTAACTTATGCAATACCGAGTAACATGCAATACATTTCTGTATATATTTCATGTTAGATTTTTAAAAAACATTGTTATAATTTTATAAAATTAGGTTGCTCACCCTTTTCAATTTAAATCTTTATAAAACCTCCCGAGACTATATTTATATTATTCGAGGGTTAGATTAGATTGAGAAACTATCTGGACTGAGCGCTGCGTATAGGAAAGGCTGGGGGGGGGGCGAGCTCAGCAGCTCAAACAGGTTATGGGGACAAGCGCTGCGGCTTTAACAGGCTATAGGGGACCAACCGTCGCGGCTTGGCAAGTCGCGCGAGGTAACGCTGTGAATCGGCCTTGCCCATGTTACCCTGTTTATGAAGAGTAACTTGAAATTAGGTCTGAAGTCCCTTTAAGTAAAGGTAAACTTTAACTTTAACTCAAAAATTATATTCAAACCGTTAAAAAGGTGGTTTAGATATTTTTATCAATGTTTAATGCATGTCTAATGGAAATTTATTATTCTATGGTAGAAAATAAAATTATATGATATGATATATGATATATAATATATGATATATGATATATGATATATGATGATTAAAGTTTATATGATGTATGATATATAATATATGATATATGATATATGATATATGTTACATGATATATGATATATTAAAGTTTATATGGAGTATTCATGCGAATAACAAACTTGATAGAATTATTTTGCTAAAATCTATTTTCTTCCACAAAAAAATATGTCTAAATAAGTTATTTCTTTGCATCTATTCGAATAAAAAAACATCGTAAAAAATGGGTACCGAAATACCAACATTTTCATTCTAAATCTCCACATTTCGTTAGAAATAAAGTTCCAGAGTATATAAATAATTTCATTTTTTATTGTTTTTACAAATTTATCAGCATTGCTCAGGTTTCATGCATCCATAGGCTGTTCATCATTTTGATTTACAAGAGGTCTGTACAATACTGATAGAAACCTGAAATTTATAAACCATATTTTAAAAATAAATTTGAAAACAAACAATTTTTATGAATTTGATAGACCAATGGCGAGCCTCCCGAATCACCAATTATATTTATATAATTTGTTTATATTATGAATGTTGCTTGCGCTTCATAGGCTAGTTCAAAGATAATGATTACCTTGTCTATGATCCGACAAAGATAATTACCTTGTGATGATCTGACAAAGAAAATTACCTTGTGAATGATCTGACAAAGATGATTACCTTGTGTATGATTTGACAAAGATGATTACCGTGTGATGATCTGACAAAGATGATTACCTTGTGATGATCTGACAAAGATAATTACCTTGTGAATGATCTGACAAAGATGATTACCTTGTGTATGATTTGACAAAGATGATTACCTTGTGAATGATTTGACAAAGGTGATCACCTTGTGATGATCTGACAAAGGTGATCACCTTGTGATGATCTGACAAAGATGATTACCTTGTGATGATATGACAAAGATGATTACCTTGTGTATGATCTTACAAAGAGAATTACCTTGTGTATGATCTGACAAAGGTGATCACCTTGTGATGATCTGACAAAGATAATTTGCTTGTGTATAATCTGACAGAGATAATTACCTTGTGTATGACTGACAAATATGATTACCTTGTGTATGATCTTACAAAGAGAATTACCTTGTGTATGATCTGAAAAAGATGATTACCTTGTGTATGATCTGAAAAAGATGATTACTTGTCTATGATTCGACAAAAATAGTTACCTTGTGTATGATATGACGACGATACTATACTATACTATACTATACTATATGACAAAGATGATTACCTTTTGTATGATGTGAAAAAAGATGATTACCTTGTGATGATCTGAAAAAGATGATTACTTGTCTATGATTCGACAAAAATAGTTACCTTGTGTATGATATGGCGACGATACTATACTATACTATACTATACTATACTATACTATATGACAAAGATGATTACCTTGTGTATGATGTGACAAAGATGATTACCTTGTGTATGATCTGACGAAGATAATTACGAAAACTAAGCAGAATCCTCCTCCTTAATATATGGTTTCCAAACAAAATACACGTGCCACGTCAAACTTAAGTAAATTGTAGTAACTTTGAACTCTTATTTGTTTTCAATAAAAACTTATTTTACTAAAAAGCTATTCAGAAACACAAAAATGTTTTGAATTTCTTATATGTAACTCAATAAATGTTTTTCTTTTACTAAAGCTTAAATTCAAACTTAGAGGAGCTACGAGGTCACAAAGGCGCATTAATGTCGCATTATTTGACCAAAGGAACACTTCATTAAAAATTTAATTGCCTAATCTTTATATCTATGAAGGATGCAAGCTGAGGTTGGAAAATCTTATATTGTGGATCTGGAGATTAATACTTGATCTCTATCTCGAATTGATTTAATATTTATTCAATATCCCACATGGTAATCATACCCTTTCAGGGGTTGACGGGAGAGCATTGATCAGGGGAGGAATAATTAAAGTCAGATGTGGAATGGCATCGTTTTCTATAGATCCTCAAATTAAAAGTGCCGTAAGTGATTATCGAGATCAAGCGATCAACATTATGAGTATCCAACACAAAGGTTCCCAGGTCTGAGCTGAAAACTTTAGAATGGTGGATATTGAGATTAATGCTTAATCTTCTCTTTTTCTTAATCTCCAGATTAAATATTGCTTGTTCTCCTTTTGTTATTAATCTCCAGATTAATTAACCGATCGGGATTAAGGATATCCCATTCTAAAGTTTTCAGCTCTGATTGTTTAAATATTAGATATTTAAAACCTCAACTATTTGGTCTAAAGCAAAATTTATAGTTTAAAATACCAAATTTCTAGGACAATAGATTGTAAAGATGTAAGGTTCTTATAATTAAACTTTGTGGCTATAGTTTGGAAACCCTTCCTATAGATCCAACCACAGAGAATAGCGCTGTTGAGTAACCACCATAATCAGAAGGTTTTAAAGTGGGCGTTGTTGGTTCTATTGACGTGGGTTCTGATGTTGTTGTTGTTGTTGTAGAAACTGCTGTTGTGGTAGTAATAGGAACTGATGTTGTTGTCGATGTTGTGGTTGGCATTGTGGTAGTTTTTTTGGTAGTAGATGATGTTGTGGTTGGCATTGTGGTAGTTTTTTTGGTAGTAGATGATGTTGTGGTTGTAGAAGTTGTTGTTTTATAAGTTGTTGATTTTGGAGTAGTTGTTTTTGTTGTTGTGGTAGAAGTGGCTGTAGTTGTAGTTTTTGTGGTTGTAGTAGTAGTTTTTGTTGTTGTAGTAGTAGTTTTTGTAGTTGTAGTAGTAGAAGTAGTAGTAGTAGTTGTTGTAGTTTTAGTTGTTGTAGTCGTTGTAGGGATGGTTGTTGTAGTCGTCATTGTGGTTGTTGTTTTTGGTTTTGTGGTTGTTGTGGTGAAGGAAGCAGGACAATAGTGAAGAGCTTCAGAGCAAATCTAAAATAAATCATTGAAAATTTAATAAAGTATGTTGGCTCAAACATAAAGTTTGTTGGCTCAAACATAAAGTATGTTGGCTCAAACATAAAGTCTCAAACATAAAGTTTGTTGGCTCAAACATAAAGTTTGTTGGCTCAAACATAAAGTTTGTTGGCTCAAACATAAAGTTTGTTGGCTCAAACATAAAGTACAAACATAAAGTATGTTGGCTCAAACATAAAGTATGTTGGCTCAAACATAAAGTATGTTGGCTCAAACAAAAAGTATGTTGGCTCAAACATAAAGTATGTTGGCTCAAACATAAAGTATGTTGGCTCAAACAAAATGACAATTTTATTCAAATGTTCTCTTCTGGCCATCTTCCAATTTCTTCACGAAAAAATGTTCGCCGATTAGATTAAAAGGAATTGATCAACTATGCTTAATCTTCAAATTGACAATAATTACAAAACGAAAAAGCTAGAGATAGGGAGTAGTTGCCTGCAATAGTGTTCACAATCCTTAACACGAAATACGATAAAAATATAAAAATAGGTTTAATTCATAATCGTTAATTTTGTAAAAATAACGCCAGCCTGTATATTTGAAACATTTAGAACGTGATCTTTAAACTTAAACTGCTTTTTAAGAGCAAACTAGTTTTTTTAAACCAGAAACTTTGTAAACCAATTTTATATAAAATTTTCAAATTCCCCGACTACAAACAAGAAAAGTAGAAACAAAATGAGATAACAACATTTGTGGCTTGGGCTGTATATTGTTGCAGATGATTTTCAATTCCTTGAAAATAACAAAATTTCTTTTCTGTCAAATAAAAATCAAAAAGAGAAAAGAGAAATATTTTTTTTAGAATTGTAGATTCAAAAATCTGCAAAACAACAAGAAGAATTAAGGAACTACACCTTTTTTTACAAACCCTGAATCATATTTTTTTTTAAAGACCTGAATGATGGTGGGGGTGCAGGGCCGCCATGAGTCCTGCAAAATGATCTCAAAGCCTTAGTATTTGCAGATTAGTATTTAAAAAATGACCTGGCGTTAGAATAGATATAATAGAAGTAATAAATATTACTTTTAAAAGAAAAAGGTTAAAAATTCAATTAGTTATGTAGTGTATTGACAATCCAAAAAACATTGCATAACTATTAACGTATACAAATATTTTTTCAATCATTTTTTATAAATTACTTGCAATAAAATCTATTTTAAAGTGCCAGGTCATTTTATATACTCATCTGCAAATCCAGAGGCTTGGAGACCATTTGACGGGGCTCATGGCGTCCCTGGACCCCCTCCCTACCTGAACCGGATCAAACTGTCTTTTTATCACCATTTTGAAGACACTGATCAAATCAGGACGAAGAACATCAAGTCCTTTTTTAACAGCAATTCTGCAACCACTCACAACAACTGTAAAAATAATATTTTCTAACACAATTTGAGAGGTAATTACAACACGCATGGTACATTTTTGATTGCCGAGAATCTATTTTACAAAAAATAAAACGTGTATTTTACATTTTTAAATTTCAATTATCTTAATACATTTTCTCAAGGGATTATTTTTGGAAGGAACCTGAGCTGAAAACTTTAGAATGGGATACCTTTGATCCCGACTGCTTAATCCGAATATCCAATGTGGACATAGAAAAAAGTACAGAATAAAGTACAGAAAAATCAAAAACCGGTTTTTCAAAATTATAGAGTCCCTCCCGTTTCTGTATGTTAATCTTAAATGGCGCCTAAAATTTGAAATTGACCGGCTTCTGATACTGGACTCTGATTGGTTGAATTTTATAAACTTTTCAGGATACAAGTACAAGATTAGTTTAGTCTCGAGATTGAATAAAAGAGAGGATCAAGCATTGATCTCGATATCTACCATTCTAAAGTTCTCAGCTCTGATCACATTTTTAATAAAATTATTTGTAAGTATAGTTAATGAAAGATTTTAAACTTCTCGTAAAAACTATTTAATATTAAGTTCGGAGAAATTTCAATTCATGAAGAGCTCTGAGAGCAAAATTTTACATTCCAGTTTCAAAAGAAATTTAATTTTTCATTTTGAAAGGTCCCAAAATTATTGATTTCAATAAAGAGAAAAGATACTTAAGTCTTTTGAATACTAAATGCTAATTCACCCATAAAATTGTGGAATTTGAAGACGACATAAAAGTTATCTTATTTCTATATTGTAATACGGAAAACGGTTTTATTAAGTTATTAAGTAAAACTGGTTGATCAATTTTATACTTAAGTTATTGGACTACTTGAAATCATAGTTTGAGTCTAACAGTTGTCTCCCCACACTTGTATGCCTATTCCATTAGCGCCTGATCCAATCAGGGTTCAGTAATGTGTTTGTTGCCTATTCTGAACCAATAGAAATTGTATGGCGGTAACATATATCTTTCTATATATCTCATTATCCAATTAGAGTTATGAATCCTTTAATCGGCGCTAACAGTAAATGGAAATATTTACTTCTAGGAAATCAATATATATTCTTGCAGTTTACGGGTACCAGTGTAAGTACGTATACCTGGAAATATAACCACTTCACAGGCACTCAGAACCTCCTCTTCAAACTATAAAAGGAATATTATTTATGTTTAAATTTTGCACCCACCTCGGGCTCTACCCCCCCCCCCCTATGTACATTGTATTCAAATTAGCCATTATAATACATTTGTATTAATCATATGCGTGCTCAAGTGCCCGAAAGTATGCCAAATTACGCAAATTTCGTTCGAAATTTAAAAAAAAATTTTATGGAGATTCTCAACTTTTTTATCCCTGGCATTCGGTTTTTAAACAAAATAAGGACGTAAATTTAAATGCCTTAGTTGAGCTTAACATTTGGAACAAAATATGATCAGAATTTTTCTAGCAGTGCAAGTAAAGTAACTCTCCTTTTTTAGATTTGGCTGCTTTGCTCATTTTAGATGTACTGAAATATCAACGATTTGTATTAATCATTTATCATGGCAGTAATAAAAATAGAGTTTAGCTCATAAGAATTGATTTCCCTTTTATACAATTTAAAGTTTCAAACTTTAGATGATTACAGTAATAACCAGAAAACTCTTGAATAGGATTTTGACTTTTAAACTCAGGTTAGGCTTTAATTCGTCCATTGAACGTGTGAGGGAGGCACAGAAATTGTGCAGTGTAAACGGACCCATTTCTCAAGTGATTTAATAATTTTCTGGTAAAGCTGTCAAATGTACTTCAGTATTGCTCTAATGTCGTCTTCCTATTCTGGTTATCACCGAGTGTTTACCTGATCTACCACTAAATCAGAGTTATTTAAAACTTGTTTTTCAACCATCGACATAATCACCAGGCATTGACTACATTCTTTATCCTTATCAGCATCAGGATTAAATGTATCATCATCATCATCATTGTAATCCTAAAAAATTAGAAAAAAATAAAAAATTAAAGTGATAAAAACTTGTGTATTAGTAAAGGCTGCAAGTTGATTTAATTATATCATCTTGTACAGACAATCTGATTAATATTAATAATTTTTCATTTTCAGAAGTATTTTCTGAAAATCCATAATTATAATAAAAATACTAATGAAAGTAAACAATATATGAAGAAATGTAGATAAGTTGTAGAAGATATACTTGCTAATTAATACCTTTTTCATCTGCATTGATTTAGATTTCGAAATAAAAAGTCCAGCTTAATCGCGATTAAAATCTTTAGTATGTAACTTATAATAAAGTCTAAAAAATCTAAGAATAATCTTTAAAAGTGAGGAAAATTAAACTACAACCATAACTCTTAAAAAATGGAAAGAAAAGTCGACTTTCAATTAAACCCATTCAAAATAAAAATATTTAACCTTATTGCTTATCTAAAGCACCAACCCTATCACTACTTTGGTACTTAACAACCAGGATACGCTGAATCCTTATTCCTATGTTTGATGTCCAAATATGACAAATGATATATCATTGGAAAGCTGTTATGCTTTACTTTTGCATCTGCTTTGATATTTCAAACTTTTATTATTTGATCTAACAAAAGTCATAGTTTGAAATGTCAAAGGTTTACGACGTTGGAATCCAAAGATATAGGGATTCGGAAATCAGAGTTTGTGGCAAAGACTCATTTCCTTTCCAGAAAATACATCAATGTATAGACTCATATTATTCATCTTAGACTGTCTTTGATTTGACTTTTGGGCTTATTTTTCCAAAATAAAGAAACATCTCATAATGCAATAATTAAAATGGCTTACCCTAATCAGTCCAGCCAAAATTTTTGGCCCAAGATTAGAAATTGCAGTAGTACAAACAGTGGAATCCTTAAACCTAAAAGAAAGAAATATAATTAACTCAAACACTATCAAACATATGGTCTAACAATTGCAGTAGTATCTACTTGAGACATAATAAACCATATTTTAGATCTAAAAAAAAATTATATTTCTTATTTAAATCGATTTAAGTTTTTTTGTAGACCCGGGTCAAAAAAACAGGATGTTGAATAAAGACGTAAAAATGGCAATATTGGTGACACAAATAAAAACAAAGCTGAACGAATTCAATTTTATAGACTTAGTTGTTTCATCGAAAATAAAACGAAGAATATCTTTTGCGGGTAACGCTGAACATTGGGAGGG